TTAAGTTCAATTAAACTGAATGACTGAATTGATTGGAATTGAATTTGATAAGAACAATAGTGTACTGATGCACAAGTAGGGCAACAAACACACTTAGCTTAGAATAGTCATGCACAATGACTGAGTCAAAGCTGAGCAGGACTCGGGAGTTTCTTATCATAAAAATGCCTCTGATGAGGTCATTAGTGAGGCCTATGTAGGAAGGCAAAAAAAGGCATGTAGAAGATTCAGATTAGAGCCATTCATTCAAAATCAGCACAGATAAAAACATTAAATGTCTGGTAGAGATAATGATCCAGTAAGCAGAAACCAGTGTGTTTGCAATGACATTATACTCCCCTCCTTGCCAAATATAGAACAGGAGGATGATAAATAATTTAGCAAGGAGTGGCTGAGGGACATAAGACTCCTAAACAGGATAATCATTTTAAACCATATCTTTTTTATTTCACATTTGGCTGCACTACCCAGGCTACCTCTGTGTTTAAGTGCCTAGCATCAACTATTTGCAACAAATATCAGCTTTCCCAATGAGAACCATCTCATCTCAGCCTCTTCCTAATAAAACTACAGTGCAGCAGTCTGTACTATGTCATGGAGACATTGATTTTCTGATGTCATCCTGCTTGAAAATCGCCTCTTCCTATAAATCAGGTCAAACATTCTTTCTGATGTTTTCCATGAGGCCATAAATAAATCAAAAAGGACTTTCATCATAATGTAACACAGATATTGTCTTGCAAGCTCTGCATTGCTGCTGATGTATATCAGAGAGGCATCCAGAGTTTTTTTTTTTTTTGTATCTGGCTCTAAAGACAGGTCTGGATTTAATAGTGCTTGTTCCACATTCATTAAAATACACCCCCCCCCCAAAAAAAAAACAAAAAGCAAATAAACAGTACTTATCTTCAGGCCATTCTCAATAGTAGTGCTGATTAATAGAAATGCAAACTAATATGAAAATGAAACCATAAATGAGATCTGTTTCGAAATGTAAAATGTAAATAAAACATTGGTTTTAGCTTTAGTTTCACAACATCCTCCTCACTTTGTTGTACCCTTAGTAATGATGTGTAAAACACTTTAAATAATCTTTAAAATTTTGTAGCATAACTTCATATTGAAAAAGTAACCAAGTCTCTGTAAAATCAGTCTATATGCCAACCAAGATGCCAGATAAAAATGGATTTCTCTCCTACCATCACAAGCATAAAGACAAAGCAAGATTAGAGCTTAATTAGATACCGGTCACAGACTGTGGCTTTAACTTGAAATCATCCAGAAGGATCTGTGGTCCATCACAGAGGAATACACAGAGAACCAGCTCATGCCTACTGTAGAGTACGTTGTAGGAGCTGTGAGGATGTGGACTTGTTCCTACAAAGTTGAAAGGTTGTGTGAGGGTTTTGTTTTTACAACACAGATTCAAACCCAGGTCACCCGTGTCGAGGCCTAAGGCCTCCATACAAGGGTCGTGTGGGCTAACCACTGCCCCACCAAAGCACACCCCATCTAGCCTGATGAACCAGACTAAATGTGAGATTAAATGTGTAAGTTAGTCTGGCCCTGATGAATGAGACATCAGAAGATTGTTGAACGCTGACCAATGAGCGCAACTGACTGTGACAGGAAGCAGGTGGGGGAGTGTAAACAAACAGCCTGTTGGTAAAACGGCGAATACGTCCTTCTTAAAAATGACTGAGCGTAGAGCCACATCCTGCTCACATTTCAACAAAAACCCCAAGTCTAATCCTTCCAAACTTGATTCCGAAGCTGGTTCAAAAATTGCCATCAGAGTCAGCGGTCCTTCACACACGACTATGCCGAGAGAGGGCTGCTGCAGACGGGCTGCGGTTAGCCCTGGCTGCCATCAGCCTCGGAAGTCCAACTTCGGAAATTGTTTTATAATTACGCATTGAATCGGTAAATGGACCATATAGTGATGCTTTAAAGTACAATATTCTTGCCTCAAATGATCTTAAAATGTACTTTTATTGAACAACAGCAACAGAAAAGAGAACTTTTAGCTTTCAATGGAGCGCACCATTGAAAGCCACTTCTGCCGCAGTGCATGCTACTGTTCTATAGTTGTTGCCATCTTCCTTGTTGTGCTTTCTCCAGCGTCGCACAGCTTTGTCGTCACGCGACGAAGATACATTTTTATTTGAATGTGCTTTACTGGAGGCCTCTATGTTTTTCAAAGAACACTACTGCCACCTGCCAGTTTGTAGCGTCACAGTGCGGTATTGGCTTTTGAGCAAGTCCCAGTTCTCTAGTCATCTTGAAAAAATTCCCCTTCGGAATGCTGGCTACATATTACGTGTTTTTTCTCACGCCAGAAATTCGATGGCAAACCTCAAGTTGGCAATCCAATGACGAACCCGTCCGTGTAGGATAAGGAATCAGAAAGGTGGAATAACAAATGTTTTTTTCACTTTTACCCGATGTATTACAACATCCAACTGCCATACAAGTGGGCATTGTCACTTTATAGCTCTTGTGAACTTTAATGGTGAAGTCCTCTCAAAATCTCAAATAATTGTTGTTGATTGCAGGTGTGTATAATAGTTCCCATTGATTTTTGCTTGTAAAGTGTGGAGAATGGCCTTCGGCTTACCACACCGTGACGTCACTGCCAGAAGATGTCAGGAGTGAGGTGTTATTATATTTGGGCAAAAATAGCCCCTCCCAGACTAAGTTATCGGGCGAAAATTATTATTTGTATTTTTTTACTGATTAACACTAAATTCATTAAATCACTGCAAACGTATTAGTTTTAGGTGTAGATAATGATCCGTTGAATATTCCTTGCTGACCGGACTTCTCCTTTAAAGGTGAAGGCCACTGTAGTTTGCATTTGACTTCCCTCTTCAGTAGCTGTGAGTTGTCATATATGTAGTTTAAACTATGAAAATAGCAAAAGGATTTGCAGACTTTGCATAATTTTGGACACAGTGGTGTGTTTTGTTAATATCTTTTTGCTATCAGTAACACTGTCCTTATGCTTTAATTTAATAGTGATTGTTGCATATTTGGGTTTAGATGTGAGGTAGAAAGCCACCAAACTCACTGTATTTCATAGAGGGTTTTATTTTTGGAACCGTCCTTGTAGCAAACACTAAAATACATCAAATACGAACGGAAGCTAGATTAAATCTCGACTGTTTAAATGATCAAAAATGTATAGATAGCACCTATGCAATATCCCTAAACCTCAGGATAGTATGAGACAGCCATTTGGCTTTAAACATTCCTTCATTCTGATGTTAGTGTGCTGCTCGGTTCTTTTTGTATACTAGACTTGATATTTTCTTGTTCCAAGTTTAAAGAATTTAATAGATTCAGACATCCTCCAACTAACCCACATACAATATAATTTGAATTATACATTCTTTTTGATCATATGTAATGGAATATATTTCTATTGGTTGATCATCTGCTAATAGTCAGCACGGCAACAACACAGAAATCTCAGACTGACCTCGGATGTTAACTCATTACTAGGTCCAAGCTCTGAGACAAATTGTTGCAGCATCTGTGTGTTAATCTGCTATGGTTACAATAAGATACATTTTTATCATCACATTTTTATATATTGCTTATGATAGAGGTCTTCAACAGGGGTCCGCGACCCCTAGGGGGTCTGCAGAGGTACTGCAAGGGGGGTCACGTAAGTTTTGGTTGATTAGACTTTTTTTTTTTTTCATATTCCCCCATCAATTTTTTCCACTAATTGAAATGTCTATAAATACACATCAACATGAATCAACACACTGTAGTAAACAAATAAATGGAGGTAGAAGATGTCTTTCAGTCATCAATGCACACATTTAGCGACACACAGGAATTGAAATACTTTCATTATATTACGTCATATGTAATAGAGTGGTTATAGGACCAGATTGATATAACACAATTTCATACAATATATATAGTTAGGGGGTCCCCGCTCCATCTCGCCATCAGTTTTGGGGTCCTTAGCCTGGAAAACGCTGAAAGGCTAAAAAAATAAAGACTCAAAGGCATCAGCTGAACTAACGCTAAAGAAACAACCCAAGTTGATCGGTTTTACTTGGTTTGGTCATATCTGTTTCCTCAAACTTTAGAGATAATTTAGTTTTTATCAGTCTGAAATCATCACATCCTCACAGTTATAATCCGTCTGCAAACCTCACTGTGAAATTTCATCACACTCTTTTTTTTTTTTTTTTACTAATAATATTCCAGAAGATTTGTTTTACTTGGGCAAGGTTTACATTCAACATTACCAAAAAAAAACATCTTGATATATAAACCTGTCTGAGAGGCCAGTAGCTTTCTTCTGTTAGAATAGAGGATTTTGTAATGCAATGCATTAAACCCTTTATCATGTGTGGTAGGTAGATTAGTAAAAAAAAAAAAAAAAAAAAGATTGTATGTGCTCTTTGACTCGAGAATGACTGGGACTCACCTTTTTGTATTCGTATAAATTTGTGTGTAGGGCAGGGAGGCTTTGTACTGTAAATAAGATAAAGTTAAGAGTGATGACTGTTCATGTAAATATTAGCTTTAGCTTAGTGTCTCTCACAGATAGAAACACTGAGGCCAAGACAGCAGGAAAATATTTTCATCTTCAGATGTTTAATGGTGTATAAACTACTCTGATAAATGCATCACAGTTAAAATCAGCTAAAATCAACGTCACGCATATTTAAATTCATCTCAGCAGTTTTGATTCCCTTTGGTTCCTTGTAGCACACAGGATCATATAGAGTGATGTCAAAATAATCGGTATTGCCTTTAAAAAACAGCATCGGATGATCTCTATTTTAAACACATTTGTACAACACTTGAAAATGCTTCAAAAGATGAGGTATTGACTTCAACACATACAGCACAGTTGTTCATATTAAAAACATGGAGGTTCTTTTTCTTAATTCTGTCTTTATGTTTTACAAGGTTAATGAAAACAGGATTTTTTATTACTGATTTTATATTTTAGGGACACAAATAGCACTAATTGCTTAATATTGTATGTTTAAAACATCTGTTATGTATTTTAGTATCACCACAAAGCTGCCTTGATGTAACATGAGGACTTAATACCAAAAAAACAGTTTCAAACCGCATAAAAAATTTAATAAAGGAAAATGATCACAAAAACTAGTGTTCTACTGTTATCTGTGGTTGCTCAATTTGTCTGCACTGCACATCTAATCTCTTCCTATTTCACATTCTTGTAAGGTTTTATGACTTTGCTTAACTATTTATCGTAATCTGGTTATTGTCCTGCTAGAAGGCGAACCATCCCCACTATCTTAAGTCAAAAACATGTCCTGGGTTGCTTTACTTTTCACCTTTCCATCAACTCTTAGTAAAACCCTATATTAGGATGTTGGCACCATCATTATTTACTACAGAGATTACATTTTTTGTATGTTTTCAGTCCACCTGGGTTCTAATTCAAGGTGGATTAACATGTTTTAGTAGGTTTGCAGTTTTGACTTAGTCCTTTTCTTTTACGGATAAAGAGATTTCCTATTGGATTGTCAAAGAATCCTGCTTTAAACAACCGTTCACCCGATTTTATGATATATTTTTCTGCTTCACTAGTTGTCTAGTGCTTTCTAACAAAGCTCTTAGTCCTTTGACAAAGAGCTGCATCCATATTGAGATTAAATTATACACAGGTGCTCTGTCTCTCTTATGTATAAGGCTATCAGAAGCACTATATCAATGCATGGCCACCCATCAAGCTTTTTATTTGTTATATATATTGAGAATCATAACATTTCTGCCACTTCACATTTATATGTTACTTGGTATTCTAGTAAAATACTTTAAAGGTTGAGACAAAATGTGGAAAAGTTTCAAGACATTTTTCTGTAACTTTTTTCCAGGGAATTCTGCCTCTTAATCTATTTCTCTAATAAAGAGAGAAAAATATATTTTACTACATGCTTCTGTATAACACAATGCTTGTTTCTGATGCTGTGGTGATGGGGTATCCTCTGAAATGCTGTGGCTCCTGAATATAAACGTCCTTGTATGGGGTGGTTGTAGACTCAGTAACTGACGATTGCAGGTTTATACTAAGTACTGATGGAGTTTCCTGCTCTCCCTTGCTGAGCTTGCTTGTCCCACTCTGCACTCTGATTGGCCCACACCGCCTGGTTAATGGAGGCAGCACTCTGCTCATCAACGTCTGTCTGGCGGATATCGCATTCTGTTAGAGTGCTGTTGTAAGACATCGCCTCTGCCAAAGCTTTACCTCCAGCCTGCACAAACACACAAAAATAATGGGAGTGAAGCGACAAAGTAACACAGTGTTTGGTACGTCCTTATGAAAAATCCCAATTGCTAGCTCACAATTTTTGCTGTCATTGTTTTTTTTTTTACATACACTGATTTCTGTTCTTACAAAGACTGAATTGAGGTCAGAGATACTGGTGGTATTAAATTTCTGCTGTCTGAGTTACTTTCTTATCCTCCAGTATTCCAGACAGAGACACAGCATACTGTGAAATCTTGGAAAGAAGAGATCATAAGAAAAATGAAAAGTCAGATATATCTCTCATGGGGAAATACTTAAGTCTGCTCTCCATCCCTGCAAACATCTCTATGAATAATTGAAAAATCCTTGGACTTCATGGCCATCCTGGTTACTTGCTGCAGACATGTATGTGCAGACAGAACCAATGCGGGAAAACTACTTTTCACCTTTTGATGGCTTAATGAAAATTTTTAATGATAAATGAAACTTAAATTTTCACATTTGGAGCAACATTATTGGTTGAATGTAAAGAAGCAGAAATATGGAAATTCAATCCAAGCTTGAACACAATAGAAATAGCAGAAAGATCCTATTGTTAAGAATTTCAAAATGTGTAAAAAAATTAATTTTAAAAAGCCAAAAATATATTTGAACTCAGCAAAAAAAAATCATAAGAAATGTGTAGGATGTGTTACATAGAACTTGCACGTCTCCTGAACATCTATCAGGTATTAATTAAGTAGTACATCAAACAAAGATAAACACACATTTTCCTGCCTATGAGGACCCTGAACATATTTTTGGTGTATTTCAGACTTTCCTACTACATTCTGCCTAATCTAGTATCATAGTGTTTATCTGCTGCAGCTCCATAACAAATAATAGAATAGAGAAAAATAAAATTCCCTTTATTGTCCCACAATGGGGAAATTCTGGTGTTGTGTTAACAGACTTTAAAACTCATTGACAAAGGAGCACAATAATAGCTGTGAAGAGAGGAACAGTCATCATGCCATGTCCTAACTTACCTCTCCGAGCTTGTTGCAGGTCAGGTTGATGCTCTTCAGAGTTGTATTCTTTTGCAGCACTTTGGAGAATTCAACTGCAGTTAACCAGGTCAACTTATTGCCTCCTAGGTGTAAGTCCCTCAGGGTCCTGTTGTTCTCTAAGGCCTTGGCGATGTCCTGGCCCCCTTGATCTGTCACCACGTTCAGACGCAGGTTAAGGGACGAAAGAATGCAGTTGTTTGACATAGCCTGAGCTATCGCTTTGGCTCCTAGGTCGCCGATTTTGTTGTTGCACAAGTTGAGTTTCTCCAGTTTGCTTCTGGTGAGTAGCTCGCTGACAGCTGTGGCCCCACCGTCTCCAATCACGTTGTGAGCTAAGTCGAGCTCTCTCAGGGAGGAGTGGTCCCAAAGGGCTCTCACCAGCAGGCAACACTTTTTAGCCTCAACCTGGCTTTGACGAAGCCTCAGACGCTGTAGTCACATACCAGATATGTTAGAAATAACAGTATCAACAACTTCAAGTATACACTTGTGAATACTTTATTAAAAACAAATGGGAATAAATATGGAAAACAGACCTTTTACTGGACAGCAGGAAATATCATAAAATATTTTCATTTAAGATGTAATACTTTCAGACTCAGCCAGACGTTAGCTTTCTGTTCCAGCAAATTAGAGACATTTGACCATATAAAGCTGTATAGATAGCAGTGTTCAGTGAAATGGTGGCATAGGTTTCTTCTTTTTTTTCACGGATGTTTCCGATTTTAAATCTAATTTAATGTTAGATATAGATAACCTGAATAAAAGCATATTACTATTTTTTAAATAATTGCTCAAACTGATTTAGAGGGAAAGATAAATAGCTTTGTAACTTTTTACAGACTAATGAATGACTTTCACTATTTGATGCTACAGGTCTTGCAGTAATCTGACCAGGGTGATAAATAGATGACAGGTCAATTCTGTGCAGAAAAAAACAGTTTAAAAAATCTAAAACAAGTATGATTTATAAAAGGAAAAAAGACAAATATCCTTCCTTAAAGTAAATGAAATCAGGAAGATTGCAACTTTATTCTGTGAAACATGCAGCATTATAAATGAAATGACATAAATGCTTACCTTCAGAGTTTTACTGAACTTAAGAGCCATGCCCAGGGATCTACAGTCTCTGTCAGTTATTTCAAACATTGACCATTCAAAGTTCAATCCACATTGTTTGATTCTGTACTGCAAGTGGAGATCTTCCAGGTTTATCAGCTGATCTAAGACAGGGCCAAAGTCAAAGTGGTCCATAGAGGCCTCATGTTCCTCAATGTTAATATCCAAGCCTGATTCTAACTGCTTATCCATCTTCCCCTTTGGAGGCTTCTTAACAGGCAGCAGCAGCTGTGAGATGTTTAACCTCCTGACATGACTTTTACAAAAAGGGAGTATGCTGAGAACCGTCTTCAGCTCTGTTACACCTGGGATGAAAAGTTCGATCATGTTTTCCAAGTGCCTCTCGAAGAACATCCGTTTCCAGCTGCCGCCATAATCAAAGACGTCACAGACGTCCCACCTCTGCTCGCAGCACCGCTTCCAGTAAACGCCATCAGGGATCACGTCGGCAGTCACATGCAGAGGCAGCGAAGGAGACAGCCTCTCCTGAACGAAATCTTTCTGCTTGGGTGTGAGTTGTTCAAATATTTGCGTTTCTGTAACAAGCAGAAATGTTATAAATTTTATTTATTAAAGGATGCACACGAAGCAACACAAGAATAAACCATTGAATTGTAGAACTGGTCTGTTTGGTTTAGGGTTCAGTGATATTACAGCTTTTTTTTTTACCCCAGGATTTTCCTCTAATTTAGCTTTGCCAAACTCTCTGTTCATTTTGACAAACCTCCCTTTTTCTTAAAAAGATAAATAATCTCTACAGCATGATGCTACCACCATATTTGCAAACATATGCAATATGTCCCCTACATGGCTTGTTGGTTAGTTTGAACAGGGCTGCCTTTAAAAAACTAAGAATTAAAAAAAATAAGCCTCTCCATTTCCATTTTATTTTTTCTCTCAGTTCAAATGTAAGAATAACATTTTATTTTCTTGTATAATGTCAACAAGTGTAAATTAGATAATACATTTGATAAAATTGTTTAGTAGAACTCTTTCAAACACTATAAGATGCTAAATACATACCGCCAAAGGTGTTTATAATGGTCTCCAGACACCTGATGGATAATCTGGGAACCAACTCCAGGGACCAGTTTGGATCCTCAGCAAAGATTCTTCTCATGGTTCTATGGTTATCCAATAAATGGATTCTGGATGACGATATGATGACTTAAGAAGGTATCCTGTAATTAAAAAAAATCTATTAAAATAATACAGAATTATGACAACATTACAGCCTGTAGATTCTCTAACAACTCTGGACATAAGAATATTATATATAAATATTAGCATACTGAGACATTAAATTAAATAAGAAAAATATATTCTGCAACGAAAAAAAAATAAAAGGAAATGATTATGTTTTCATCCAAAAGGGCTTAAATGTCATGCTGTTCCTATAACATTAGATCTGATAGGAAGAGGGACACGTGTCAGCATCCCCCTCCTTGGACATCTTATGCAAAACATTGTAACTCATGTGCAATATTCTTCTCTCTCACTGTTCAATAACACATGCCAACTACTTGGTAGCCTCTGTAATTTTTAACTTATTTATAAGGTCAGTACATCTGCATTAAAAGTGCAATAACCCAAGTCAACTACTGTGTAGTCTTCCCTTAGCTCTCTACTGTGCGAATATTTTTATATCTAAGGGAAACATATTACACGACATTAAAACTTTTTCCTTTTTTATGCTTTTTTGTTCTATATACACTTTTTTAATATTGTCGGTTGGTTGGTTTTTTTGTCTTTAATGGCATCTTTGTACTCTATATAAGTTACTGGAACCAGAATATCCCTGAAGGAGTAATCCCAAGGGACAAATAAAATTGAGTCTAAGTCTAAGTCTCTAAGTCTATATGAAATTAACATTGAACTTTAGCATTTTGTAGGAGGTTTGTTCTGTTTGAACCATGAAGAGTCGATTCCTTGTGCTCAAGAACAATCTGGCTTGAACAGAAGCTTGAACAGTGAGGTTAGATCAAAAGAACTGTCTAATGGGACTGCGTGTGTTCCGAGCCCCTAAGTGACCCCTCACACCCCCACCATGGACTGTTCTCCCTGCTGCCCTCTGGGAAGAGGCTTTGCAGTATCTGATACAGGTCCAGCATATTCTGCAACAGCTTTTCTCCACTGAAAAAAAAAAAGTTAACTGATTTTTAAATTTTATTTCAGTTTAATATGGAAAAAAGTCAGAATTCTGAGATTAAAGTCAGAATTCTGAGAATAAAGTCAGAATTCTGAGATTAAAGTCAGAATTCTAAAAAAAAAAGTCAGAATTCTGAGAAAAAAGACAGAATTCTGACTTTTTTTCCTATGTTAAACTGAAATAAAAAAAAAAAATCAGTTAACATTTTTTTTTTCCAGTGGCCCTAATCCTCTTCCGTAGCCATCAGAATGCTGAACTGTTGAAAAAAATCTTAAATCAAGTCACTGACTGTGCATCACACTGACAACACTTCACCAAATACTACATTTTTGCACCATATATATCTGTCTTGAAATGCTCTGAACCTCCATATCAATGCATTTTTGCACCATGTTTTTTCTCCCACACTGTTTACATTTGATCACTACTGCACTTTATGAAATGAAAATGTTCATTTTACTGCTAAGCTGTTGCTCATTCACTGTCTGAAAGCTGTGCAAAACGAAATTTCGTTTTCTATATACTCTGTGTATAAAAAATGACAATAAAAGTTGTCTAAATCTTAGTTCTCCAGAAAGATTTCTCGAGTGTGGTCTGATGTTTATAGAAGTCACGAAAGAATTTGGAATCTGCCACTCGACTGGCCAAAGTCGTCAGTAATTTAAAGACATTTAAATCAACTACATAAATGCACACCCCTGAAAACTAAAAGATACTAAAAGAAGGTCTAAAAAGAAAGAAAAAAAAGAGATACCATGTGACAAAAAAAATAAAAAATAAGATTTTGGCCATGAAACATAGGACTAGGAGACATTTAGCTATGTTTTTCTCAAAAAGAAAACATGAAGGTCACACTTAATTTTGTTAAAACATGTATTCCGTAAAAATTCAAAAAAAAAAAAAATTATCCACTGGACTTGGTTTCCAAGATTTGAAGACGTTTCGCCACCTCTCCAGGAAGCTTTCTCAAATCAAATGTCTGGATCCGCAGTGAGTTTGAGTCTTATATAGACTCAGGCTTTGGGGGACAGCTCCTCAGCGTGGGACAAACCTTCCTCCTTCCTTCTAACTTTTTCCCCCAGTTATAATCATGATTTTATTTACATCTTAGATGATGGATTCAATTCAATTCAGCTTATTTATATAGTGCCAATTCACAACACGAGTCATCTCAAGGCACTTTACAGTTCAACCAGATCATGCAGTCAAATTGATTCAAAGTTTTCTATCTAAGGAAAACCAGTTGTTTGCTTTGACTCTTTGACTCAAATGCAATCCCTCACACTAAGCATGCTTGTAGAGGCAGTGGAGAGGAAAAACTCCCTTTTAACAGGAAGGGACCTCCAGCAGAACCAGGCTCAGTATGAGCGGCCATCTGCCGAGGCCGACTGGGGTTCAAGGAGACAGAAGCAGAGATACAAAAAGCAGCTCTAAAAGGCGGCCCCGTCCAGGAAACACACAGCCAAGCAGACGAGCTCCGAGCTAGCTCCCATTTCAGAGGAAGAAGAGAGCACATCCAGCCAGTCACGGTCAGAGAAACAGGACTACACTAGAAAACAGCCAGATCTCCAGCATCTATAAACAAGGGTGTTGATGGAATTAGCACAGCTGATATTTCTCTCCAGGATGGCGTCACAGCCAAACAGGAACAGACAAGGCAAAGCTACTATGAGAAAAAGCAGAGAGAGCATAATGTTAGAGATTGAACTAACAGATTCTGCAGATTTGGAGAATAGAGACAGAATGAAGCACAATGATGAAATGGGGGTCCCTATGTCCTCCAGCAGTCTAAGCATATAGCTCAGTATAACCTGAGCCACTCTAACTATAAACTTTATCAAAAGGGAAAGTTTTAAGCCTACCCTTAAAAGTAGACAGGGTGTCTGCCTCACGGATCAAAACTGGTAGTTGGTTCAAACAGATAGGAGCCTGATAACTAAAAGATCTGCCTCCCATTCTATTTTTAGAAATTCTAGGAACCACTAGTAAACCTGCTGATTGAGAGCAAAGTGCTCTTTTAGGAACATAGAGGAACATGGATAAAAACAAGGTTATAGTTTGTATAAAGGCAACCGTTTTTTCCCCCAATATAAGTTAATGTAGATGCGTTTGTTAAAGGTTCAGCACACAGATGTATCTGGCTAACGTTAGCTGAAGTGCGACTAATGAAAAATAACCAGAAAACAATATCAAAAATGAAACTAAGATAAACTTTTCCTGCGTTTAAACTTGAGCAACCAACCGACTGCGCGGAAATATAACTTCTACTGAAACAATTACATAAATCCTTCTTACCAAACCTGCTGTACGCGTCGGTTTCGGGATTACCCGGTTTCCATGGAAACGCTTAGTTTACTGGTTTCCGGGGAAACTGTAGCAACCGCTTTTCCAACACTTAATAATCGCTTAGAACCCCCACCCCACCCCACCAACACCACCACTACGGCGTTCAAACTATTTTTAAGAAGAACGCGTGGAAAAACAAGTGAATTACTAATTTATTTCAGTTCTTTATTGCCTGAGAGATAGAGCCTAATTTATCTTTAATACTAAAAGTTAAATTGGATGCAGGTCCAGCAGATTCCACAAGTTTCTTCCAAACTGCCATTACACTGCTGAATGTTTTGTAAAATGGGTTATTGTATTATATTTTATTATATTTATTATATTTTATCATTATATATATATATATATATATATATATATATATATATATATATATATATATATATATATATATATATATAATATGTAAAAACTTTAAAACTGTAAACTACAGTCATTGTTACTATTTTTCAAGGCTGCACTTTAAAAAATGATGAAATTGTCCAGAGAGTCCCTAAAAGACTGGCACAGTCCAATTTTGCATACATCAGGTGATTTGCATACCAAAATGCAAGGATCCGTACCAGATATCGCAGCACACCTCTTAACTTTTTTCATAAATAGCTTACAAAGGTAGCTCTATCATATGCACTTGTGGCATTATGTATCTATTTAATTAAGAAAAACAGACAACTTTCTGTTTTCTAGGTGAATTCAATACACTTCCATATAATAATGCTGTCCAACTGTCCACATTTTCTCAACTCTCACCATTGTCTGCCAGTCATAAAGCTGTAAAAATTTGATTTGCAAATTTTTCTAGATTGATGGATGTCTTTATTCTTGCTTCATAATGTCAGACAATTTCAGTAATGTTTTGGTTCTAAGGCTCTGTTAATAAACAAGCATGTGTAATGGCTAGTAAATCTGAACTAATGTTTTTTTTTAAAATGCAGTTATTTAAAATGTACTTTTTTTTACATAGGTAATTTCAGATAGTTTTTTTAACCCCTAATCAAATAAATAATAAAATACTGCCTTGCATACTTACGTGGGTTATCTCTATTTAATTAAATTGTCTCATATACATCGTTTAATGATAGTAAATATTTAACAATGAAAAGGCAAAACCAGAAAGGAGCAAATACCTTTTCTCAAAAACATGGTTTAATAACAAGGAACGGCTCTCAAATATCTGCAGAAACATAGTTTGGCTTTCTGCAGGGCAGTGCGACAACATAGAGCTTTAACACTACTGCTCCACTTGTGCAATCACACTTCTATTTGCTCTCATAACACCATGAGGTGTTGCAGTAGTTCCTAAGCAACCCAGCATTTAATTACAAAGACAGGAGGATTTAACCTGACAATTCTTGAGAAATATAAAACCCCCTTAGAGGTATGACACCTTCTCCTGCTACTGATCTACTTAATCGGACATTGATAAAATAGGAAAATTGCATGTTTGTTTTTAATGCTACTAAAAGTAAAGTCCTCTATTTTAAGTCCAAGTGCTGTCTTTCATACTGCAAGCACCTACATTTATGGTAAAATGAAATATATGTTTTATAAAATGCAAATTATTTCCCACAATAAATTAATTCATAAAATTCCTGTTTTAGCAGGGCAAAAGCAGAGCTGAGGTTAAATTTGTGCTGCTAATGTAATACAAAATCTGCAAGAGGAAATAATTTAAAAACCCATTACTAATTTAAATCTGAAGAGTACAGCTCATTTCTTTTTTCATCCTCTGGTAGGTTAAACATTGCCATGTATTTTCTATAATAGGGGGTTTTCATGTGACGTCGCGCTCACGTGACTACTCAGCGCGTCCGCCATATTGGGCGGCAGCCTTAAGGCCCATTCATACCTCACGTAAAAGACGGATACGGATACGTGTGGAGTGTTTCATACGTTCTAACCGTCGATTTCGCCCGTACTTTGACACGAAAATTGGGAGCTTACGCTTACGGACGAAACGGATCAATACGGAGCAATACTACCGGAAACGGTGGGGACGCTATTGAGTTTTTAGTACAAAATGTCAACCAAATCACAAAGAAGGTTAGAATGCAACAGAATCAGGTCTTGGACCATCGCCATGTTTTGATCAATGACGAATCATTGGCGCCCAGCACTGCCACCTAGAGGAAATACGGGTTATTGCGCACCTCAACGGACGGAGGTATGAAGGAGTCAACGGATAGAACGTACGGACAGAAATACGGACGTGCAGGCCAAACGTGAGGTATGTATAGGCCTTTAGGCAGTATTGACAGTGAAAAATGGTGAAATCGTGTGTAATTGTTGGTTGCACGGCCCGTGGAGGTGGAGATCAACGCTCTTTCTATCGCATACCAGCCGTAATCGTGAATCAATGTGAAAAAACAAAACAGCTATCTGAACAACGCCGTCACCTATGGCTGACACGGATATCCAGGTCCGATTTGGACGGTGTTAAGCTGGAACACGCCAGAGTCTGCAGTGCTCACTTTGTCACAGGTAATTAACTGTCAAGCATTTAAAACATGTAAGAATATATTAATAATAGGGCTTGGGCGTCATGACGTATTACTTTCCGTGGCCGCAATGTTGACCGTCTCCGCCGCCGCTACTCAGACTACTGCCTATGACCACCGCGTACTGGACTCCCTCTCTCGGCCGTGTTTTAATTTGATTAATTTCACCTTAACTTGATTTCAACCAGCGGGAAAAGGCTCAAATATGTGAGAAACCCGGAGGGTTTAGGGAGGTTTGGCAGTTAACGTTACTAACCAAACCTTTGAAACACATAGCAGCTAGTTAAAAGTACATTACATGCCTGAGTGGTTGTTAGCACTAACGGTTAGCACTGTTTGCTGGCTTTATGAGCTGCAGCTCCTGAACCCATCCATTCGTAAACTGCACATGAGACTCCAAGGACTTGTAGCTTTGGAACTGTTCGCGCGCCGTTAGCCACCTAGCATAGCGAGCCCTGCGTCGGATTGTTTACATTTTTACCATCTTATTAAAACTCACCCGTCCACGTATGATGGCGATTTCCTTCATGTACATCACTTCGACATCTCGTACCCAACCAGATGTGAACTGGTTGTGAGCCTCTAGACCCTTGTACGCTCTCATTTCCTCCAGTGTGCAGAGGGTTTTCACTGAACACCGGGTAATGAACTATGTTACCGTGCTCTACATTTGGCCAATCATCTGGATTAGTGCTAAACAAGGCACCGTGGAGGGCATAGGGGTCCATATGGTCGATCACGGAACATTTCCTCAGATATGTTCCATGATCTGGTGGCTCTAGCGTGCTGGCGTACTTATCTATTCGCGACATGATATATTTAATATACGATAATATGCCACCCAAGATGGCGGACCGGGAGCTGGCCAGTGACGTCACTGAAAACCCCCTATTGGTCCCCTCCATCTACATATTTCCTGTTTTTGTTGAAAAGTAGCCAACAGCTTCATGCTACCACATTATTTTAGATATGCTGTGCTGCTTTAATTTTTTTTAAATATACCAATACCATTTAAATGATTGAAATATAAAAAATGAGCAGAAACTTAAATTGTAATGCCTAACTGTTTTTATTCTTAGAGGGATGGATGCTGATGAGACAATACAAACTGAAATATGTTGTTTCTGAAAAAAAGTATAATTTTTTTAATCTGATTAAGAATGACTGTTTACACTGTTGTAATGGATGGATGAGTGTTGAAAGATTTCAAAGAACTTAAAGTCAACGCAAAAAAGAAATCATAGGTATGAATTATGGTGAGAGTGCATAGGTAGAGACTTTATTCCTTTCACCGAAAATCCAGTCATTATAAAAAATAAAAATAAAAAAAAAAGACATCAAACACAAGGAATCTTACATAAATTCACAACGAAAGCAACCTTTTTTGTACTATTAAGTAAACATCCCCAGAATAAATCAGGGAATTTTAAAACTCTACAAAGTCCAATTCAAATCCAAGCCATCAGGAGGGGAAAGCGCTAATCGTCCAAATCCTCAAAACTGTCCTCAGAGTCCAGATGGCTGCTGCTGTCCGTCTCTACAGAGACCACAGAGTAGAGGCTGCTGTTTATGGACACCAGGCTACTGTCGCTGTCACTGCTTCTGCTGCTGTCGTCGTTGATCACCATCACTTCAGCGGTGGCGGCTGCTGGAAAAAAATGGTTCAAACAATGTGAGATTGGGCCTGCAATCTTCAACAGCACCGAGTCTTGGAAGTAAGATTCGTTTTGTAGATGTCTTAAAGGAGATGCAACACGAAGTGAGGTAATTGCCATCTCATTTGTCAATGCAACTTTTTCTACATTCCAGGTGTTCTTCCCTAACCACCAGGCTGCCACTACCCTAAATAACAACGATGCTGCCACTTTGTGTTTGAAATGCTTACTCGCCTACAGCTTTAACACCTAGTCTGAGTTTTTTCACTCAGTCATAATCCTGGCTTTTAATAACATTTAGTCGGTTCTTTTATTTTAGAAGCTTATTTGCCCGACCAAATTGCTAAGAAATGACTTTAGCCTGCTGGGGCCAGAGCTACGGAACCAACTGACCCCAGTTGCCGATTAGTAAAAGCACCTTAAAAATGCAACTCCAACACTATGAACAGTTTTCCAAGTTTTATGTTGCTGTTTATTTTATTTTTTTTTAGCATAAGTGGCAGAAGGCTTCATAGTCACTGTTTAAAACAAGCTAACTTTAGTGTTGGAGGAATTAGCTTTTTTTCATGGCAGCAGCAGGATCAAGTTAAGTGGACCAGCCAATAACAGGACAGCTGATTGGCTGGCTGCATGTTTTCAGATGTAAATACATGCAATAAAGCACAATTCAGTCACGCAAGAGCATCTTATAGTGCATTTAAGGATGCCTAAAGGCCTGAACACACTGGTTGCATACGATTTTTTTTCCATGTCCCACTGACTAAATAGAGAGGCTCCAACCTGGCGGGGTAATGCAAAGCCTCCCTTTAATGAGTCTGTGTAGCATCTCAAACCAGAACAGATAGAGAACATTCATACGCCTATATTAAAAACATAAGATCTCATCTAAAGAATAGAAAAAGACATAAATAAACCCTGTGGGATGGTTTATATGCTGACTGAGGCAGCAAGAGGTGATCTTCAGGGAGAGATCTGTAAAGATTTTTTGTTTGTTTGTTTTTTTTAAATAAAAAGGTGAGACACGGCGTGCTTACCTCCTCCGTCTGCCCCTCATAATATTGTTTTTTTTTTTTTTGAGGCTCAAATAGGATCACTACTTTATCAGTTTTCTGTCCTCCTGAATTCCTATCATGAGTAAAGTATTCTTTTTTTAATGTTCCACTCATTGTTTTTGCACGAGTCTGTCCCGCTTACTATAGGCCAAGTGAGACTCCAAAACTGATTCTTTCCCTGTGCAATTAACTGATTTTCTATTTTCCAACAAAGCGGATGTGTTTTACTTTGTAACTGCGTCTCTGATCCTGTCAGACAAAGAACAATCTGCCGAATTGCTGTGTAGTCTGACTAATCAGACCTACGCAAGCCTCATGTGTAAAATGGTTTTGGTGTGATCAGCCCCCCCCCCCCGAATGAGTATCAATGACCACTAAACACCAAGACTTTGTCCGACACAATTTTCTGTCGGAACAGACGCAAAACCAGATTCGGTGTGTTCTGGCCTTTACATTAGCATGAGAAAATTAAACCCCATAAAAAATAAATAACAAAAAAACAGACCTTAACACAATTTATTTAGAAATGTAAGACTTTTTTTAAACAAACTGAGCTTCTATCTGTATGACTATGAAGTCAGAACACACCTCTCACCTTTCCTCTCGGTGATGAGGGTCTGCCTCCGGGCCTTCATGTCCAGACTGAGGTTCTCCACCATTCGGTCGATGCAGTTATCCAGAGCCAGACAGCGTGTCTGAGACTGGATGGCCTGACGGCAGATAGGACACTCATCTTTCTTATTGCGCCACTGCTTGATGCAGAAGGAGCAGAAACTGTGGGCACAGTTCAGGATGACGGCCTGTCAAAGAGCAGACATGTTACACATCAAAAGCTCAATTTTTCTTCCCTGTTTACCAGTTTTATGTTTGTTTAAAAGTTATGTTCCACTTGGAGTGCTGAATATTAGCTCAACTCGGAGGCGCCCTCTAGTGGTACAAATTGTAACTAGGGTTTCATAATGCTGGAGTGATGATGAAACTAACCTCAATGAAGAGCTCTGAGCAAATGATGCACTGAAGCTCATTCTCTAGGACTTCAGTGACCTGAGTAACAACCTCCTCTTTCTGGGCCCTTGCCTTTTCCTTCTCCTCCTGCAAAAAACAAACAAACAAAAAAAACATAAAATTTAGGACCTAAAAATTATGATCAATAACAAATGATACTAAACACAAAATAATGATTAACCTACCATAGTAACTTCTAGTTCTTTGTTTTTAGCCGATATAATTTCTTCAAAGCCTTTTCGAGAGAGGGCGAGTTCATCGATCACTTTCTTTTGCTGTTAAAAACAAATACGATCAAAACTTGATTAGATTCAAGAACTATTAAACACATTCAGTCTTAGAAGCTTTGTTCCTGCAAAAACATTGTTGGAAAATACAGTGGAAAAGACTGCTTCTTCCATCATATACAGATAATATAAATAAACAGGCTTATATGATGCAATTATTAGGCTTATTTTGATTTCCTTACCTCTAGCAAGGCCTCCTCAAGCTGTTTTTTCATTAGCTCCTCTTGTTGTTGCGTTTTCTCCTCCTGAATCAATTGGTACAATTAATAAAATATTTGAACTTAGTATTAGATTTATAGTTTTATTCAGATTAAAAGGCAACATGGTGGCATGATGTTTGCTTGAACTTCAGTAATAAAAAAAAAAGTGTACTCTTATGGCATTAAAACTAAAGCATTGAGAACAAAATGCAAATAAGAAAATTGTATTTTCAGAATTTGGAAACGGGGGCTAATCTAAACTGAACCCATGATCAAGTATGCAACAAAAAAAAAAAAAAAAAAAACTATAAATGTATTAAAGGAGGATTTATTCCTCTAGAGTTTGTTGTCCAGATTTACAAATCATGTTGTTGGCATTCTATGTTTTAGGGCAAATGTCCTGAAAATTAACTTCTCTGAGCTGTTATTGGTCATAATGCTGTTCCTTTACCTAAACCAATTAAATTCAAATGGTGTGGATAAAGGAATATATATATTAATTTACAAAAAACACTGGGCAGCCAGTCTGCTTCTATTCTTCATCGTTTGTTAGTTCAACTTCTAACCTCCGTCTTCTCTCTGCTTTTCCTGTCACTGTAGCTTCATCTGATCTGTTGCTCCATTTAGCTGGAGAGAGACTGGCCTGCTGCCTTCAACCACTTCCATAACAGATGATATCGTCCGGCCTGCTTTCAGTGTTTAGTCTTGTTTCTCTCCCAGACATAGCTATGGGCTCAGCCTTTATCATGATTAACTGTAGGTGCCATCTTTCATCCTTTTTGACAAATAAACTGTCTCAGAGCTAATCTGCTAAACTGTTTTCTGAACAGACTCACCTAAGGAGCTAGCTAACCTCTGCAGAAGGTCGTTCAAACTGAGCCTGGTTTTGCTGGAAGTTTCTTCCTGTAGTATTTCATTTCAGCTATTGGTGCATGTTTGGTGTGAGGGATGACAGTGGAGTCAAAGACAAAATACAATCGAAGTCTACTGGACGTCCCCTGGGGGAGGTCTGACAGCGGGGACATTTTTGCGCAAACGAGTATTGGTTTGTTGATTTGCCAACCCTAACCTACGCAGGAGTAGGAACGCCCACACACAGCTGCAGATATGCGTTAAGAGTGTTTAAGAGGCGTGAATCCTGCCTAGTTTCCTTAGAAATCTTAACAGACCTGGCTGTATGACCTTATGGATTGCCTTTTCAGAGGGCCTTTATACGACATGTGTTTTGAATGCATTATTTTTAAATAAACAGCCCTGGACTACAGTTTAAGAATTAACTGACATCTTTCTTGAACAGTTAAATCTTGAAGACCCTAGCTTTACTTTTATTAATTAAGATGTTGCAGGTTATTATTGTTCAGCTGATTTCCTTTTTTGTGTGGTTATTTTCTTTTTATTACATTTTATAGGCTCATGAGTACTTTAGTCCATGTGACAAAAAGTTTTAAAATAGCTGGCCTATCACATAAGAACCTCTGAAATCATATTTCAATAAGTGGGTGTAACTTCACCTAAGTTTGAGAGGTATTAGTACTTTTGCAATACTGCACCTCTAACTGCCTCTTTGTTTCGCTGAAGGATCTCTCTAACGTCTCCATCCGGTGCATTTTAGCTCTGAGCGCCTGCAGCTGACCCTGCAGCTCACGGATCTGCTCCTCTTTCAGAAGGCCCGCCTGTCTGGGCTCTCCTTCCAGAGATTCGACCTGCCTCTGTGTGTCGTTAACCTGCTCCCTCAGTAGCAGAATATTTTGGCTGTACCTGCAGAGATAAGAAGATAACATGAGACAAGCTAGAGGGGTGTTCATCTGAAAAAAATAGTTGTTCTCCAAACAGACATTGATTTGAACAAAAAAACCACCTCCAAAAAACAAACAACACTATTCATGTAACAAAACTCAGAAGTGAAAAGTATAAGGAGATGCTGCAAACTGTGTAGATGTCAAAACAACTGACTCAGACGGACGCAGGTGTCTAAAGGGATTCCTGAAAGAAATTTCTTGCAGCTGCTACCTAATCGAAGCCAACATGGAAACAGTTTAACACAAAAAGATCTTTTATTGATAAAACTATCATTTATAATCCTTAATATGAGGAAAGTAACTAAGAGTTTTTTTTTTCTCTGAAACACAGGATGACAGATTAGTGAAACTGGGCCTTACGTTTGCAGGTTGTTGAGGTCCCAGGCAGTACCGGAGCTTTCAGAAGGCTGCTCACCTTCATATACTTGTTTGCTGGATGCAGTCTCCTCTGGCTCTGGGTGATTGAGCCGCTGCCTTAGCTTCACAGGAGACAGAGGACAGGGCTTTGCGAAGGACTTGTCTGCAGAAGCGCAGCGATATAACTTATTCTTTGAAGTAGAAGGCTCGACTTCTTCCACACTTAGCTTCCTCTTATGCTTTTTGGGTGTTTGGCTTAGTTTGGGATCCTCATTGTAGCCCTTTTTCAGGTAGGGCTTAATGTCTTTGAGCGGCCGCCGGATGAAGATGTAGTCAAACTCTACTTTTGATCCTGATAAAGGAACTCCAAGCTGAATAGAGTCTCCGAGCCTGAGCAGATGAGGCTGCTCTGGAGGTATCCGCTTGTCATTCACCCACACCCCGTTTAGGCTCTGGGAAGTAAAGTAGAGCAATGGTTACAAACTGCTGCTGTATGTAATGTCCATACACACTTTGATAGTTCCATAGATGGAAAGATATTTTATTTGAATCTTAAGAATCATAAATCATAACAGCCAGAGAGACAGAGTTACACTTCATAGAGGGGGTAGACCAATACATTGACCGGCCGATGTTAATATTAACACAAAGATGTGTTCATTAGTGAATTCAGCATCCATGCCTTAAGATCATGTGAAGCATGTTAATTGCTCTACTATCCATTTGCTATCAATTGTAATTGTTTTGTTTGATTTGTTAATGTTTCCTTCATGTTTAAATTGATACTATAGAAGAATTTATTGAGTCTTTTTAAATCATGAAAATTACAAAAGAAAAGCTTTAGAAATCACCAGCACAAATATCAAAATGGGATTGGCCAATCTGGCAAAACTGCCTATTTCTGCTCCACATCTGATCTACATTTCAGAGTAGAGTTTAGAGGGAGGAGTCACTGGATCTGCTATAAGGGCTCTAGAAAAAGGTTAAAAAACATAAATTAAAATTAGACTTTAGGACATTTTAGCTTTCCTTAAACCCAAATTTAGTGTTATATCCCAAACTCAAAGGACTTGGCTCTGACTAATCTAATGGATTTAGTTCACACCATCCCATAAAAATAAGTAAAGGGAGCGTTCTTCCTGTCCAGTAAATCTATCATTAGAAAGATATCTATAGTGTTGGCATTACACAGCACTGTGCGTGGTGCAAAACTAACACTGAATATCACATCTCCTACATGGTATTCTCTCTGGTGGGGTAAATCATACAGAGGAACCCTAAAACCAAACCTGTAAATTACCAGAGGGTTTTTTTCCTCCAGGAGTAAAATGACCCTAAACATAAACTTCTCCTGTACTACTGATTAAGATGTAAGCACATTTATGTTCAAAGAGTAGAGTTAAGAGTCAAACACTGAAATATGCATCTTAAAAAAAAAAAAAAAGGACCCAGGACTGAACCTTGTGGAATCTCACAGGTTACATAGTTACATAGAGGAAGTTTTAGAAAAGGGTACTGAACACATTTTTTATACGTAGGGGTGGGCTATATATCGAATATACTTGATGTTTTTCGAGTTTCCTCATACACAGTAGTTAAAATGACTATCGCAACCATCAAGCACAAATTTGCATGACTACATTAAGCCGTCTGCATCTATTTCACAGAGAGTTTAATTTTTCCCAAACACTTTGAATGCATCATAACCCCATCCTCAAAACAGGATTATTTTCTGCACGGCACGCACACTACAGCAAGCGGAAACCGAAATATGGTGACAACAGGTGTTTCAGTTAGGCCAGGGGTAGGCAATTCTAGTTCCTGAGGGCCCGTATCCTGCAACCTTTAGATGTGCCTTTTGTTCGACACACCTGAATAAAGTAATTAGATGATTAAGAAATAATATTGAAGGCAGTATCGCAATCTTGATGAACTGACAGCACAGAAGATGTTTTCAGGTGGGCGTTCTCACTTACAAACATTAAAACTATTTTTTACCCACTGATCACAGCAAATATAGCAAAGCCGATCTCTGCCATTAAACACAGGAGCAGCAGAAGCAGCTCAACAGACTCTACTGGACACTCTACAGGAGAATTAAAGAAACGCTTGAGGCAGGTCGGACCTTAATGCATACAAGCATCAAAAAGCAGCGGGTGCTTTTTTGCTGCTTAAATCGTGTTAGGTGTGAACATAGCATAAGACGTGCCATCAAACCGTTGCTGCAAAAGGCAGCAGTACGGATTATTCCACCACCTAAAAAGACTTCTGCAGCAAAATAAAGAATTTTGTAAACCCTGCATGTCAGCGCCTCCCCGCTAACGAATTAAAACGTTAAATGAAGCTGATGACGGTGGCCTCATTGTTAGAAACAGCGATCCCATATAAGAGAAAAAGTAAGAGATGAAGGGAAATCACAGACGATATTTTTTACGTAATTTAAATGTTTTTTAGATGGTCCAACACCTGTGATGTCATGAGGTCTTGTTCAGAGGTTTTACAGGCATGTTCTAAGCTTGGTAATGTTCCCTATTTTACAAATTTTGTTGCTTTAAAATTCCCAGCATTTAAGATCAGTGCAAATAGTGTTGAGATGCTCTAATTTTTGGACAGTATTTCAACTTTTGTTTATGTAATGGTCAATTTATTTTATTATTCAGCTTTTTTTATTATGCATAAAAGAGCCCTTTTTTGTTTTACATTTACTTATTATTACGTGTTTTTGCTTTGTTTGGTTGCTGGGATCTTGTTAAGGATTTAATACTGACACCAAAAGACATAATGTTGCAATGTTATTTGTGAAAATCTTTTGAGCTGGTTAAAATAAAATGTTTTAAAATTAAAACCAAAAGTGTATTAGTGTATATCAGTGCATTTTTATGCAATCTATTGTTTTTAAAGATAATTCAAACATATTGTGATATATCATGTATCGTGATATAGCCCAAATATATTGTGATATTAGATTTTCTTCATATCACCCAGCCCTATTTATAAGTGATACAAAATAAATTTAAGAACATAGTAAAAAGGAGATAAGACAGTTTATGCTTTCACTAAATATGTTTAAGGAGAAAAGTGGGTGAGAACTTTAGCTCAATTGTAACCTGCTCACCTTTTTATCTGTTACTGTCCACTGGCCATCCTCCCTTTGCTTGAAGGAACAATGCAGTCTGGAGATCATGAGAGGGCACGTTGGAGATATCAGCTGATGGGTTACCTCCACACCACGTCCAATAGTGATCTAAACAGTCAAAAATAAACATGAAACTTACGTTTTCCTCTGCTGCGCTCCATGCAAAATACTAATGATAATATATATGGGTTACGTCATTCTCAATATCTGACAAGATCCCAATAAACATAAAAAAAAAAAATTAAGTAAGAGCTGAAATGCGTGATTAGAGCGCTTAAAATTTCTTGAAATTCGCACAGTCCTTAAAGTTTTGCCTGTTAGCAAACGTTAGCCAAACTGCACCTCTGTGTTTTCGGACAAACTGAGCCAGTCCGAGTTCTTTCCGACTCTCATCAGACATGAAACCTCCGACTCGGAACAGTCGTCCTCCTCAGACGAAAAACAGACCGTCGTTAAGCTATCCATGTTTTCGCATTTCGGCCTAAAGGCCACTTCGACCTAAACACCCCTCCAAACGTTACGGTTCTCCTTCATACCGCAGCTACTGGAGCTGTAGCCATGAAAGGCTACCTACAAACCGGAAGACGACGAGTTCCTTTCTAAATAAAAGCCTTCTACTACTTCTTTTTCTTCTTTGTTAGATTGGCGGATTGCAAACAGCTCATAGGTGCATACCGCCACCTACTGTACTGTGTGTAGCTCTGTAGTTCCACCTACTATATTCTATTTTTTTTATTTTTGTGTTATGTAAAAACAAAAATAAATAAAAAAAAATGTTTATTAATAACCAAATTTTCCACCCAATCCCCATCTATCCCTAAAATTTATTTAACAGTCCATTCTGTCTTTCTAGTTTCCTGACCATTATTAAGGGACACCAGAGACCTTTTATCCATCATTTCTTCCACTATTTTACCATTATTGTCCGTCTGTCTGCTTCCCCATAGACTATTATGTGCATTGGAGTCACTACACCTAACTTCTCTTCTTTTAATTGATCCTGAAATTGTATTAAATATCTCACTTTCTAACGTTTTAATATTTAAGAATCCTAATATTACCAATTTTTCCTGATTTAAATATTTCTACACTTACACATTCATATTAACCAGGTACCTGATGTTCTTTATATGCCAATCCATCCTTAATGAAAGTTGCACAACCTCCTCAACTACTATTGTAACTCTTATCTCTTCTGACTGAATTGTAACCGGGAATTTTAAAATCTAAACACATATAACATCCGGAGCTAATTTATAGTTCATGTACATATATATTTTTTTTTAAATCTTGACCATTAACTATGAGACTTCTAGCATTCCATTGAAGAATATGTATGACATTTTTTTTTAAAATCCTTTTCTTGATAATTTCCAGCTGAACTCAGAAGTTTGTGAATTTGATCCGCTTGGACCTCTTTCATGTCTAGGAACCGTCCTGCTGCTTCTACAATCGTTTTGATTTGATCACTTTTCTTTTTCATTTGCACTGTAACATTGATAATTTGACAAATAAATGCCACAAAGTTATTTTTTTTCACCAACATTGTATTTTAATCTCTATTATATTTATGCTTGCATGCATAGCATTCATCTGTTGAATTGATAACGTTTTGATTCTGTTTTCTTTGTGAGTCATTATTTTCCTGATTTATCTCTCCTTGACTTGTTTCTTTATTCCCAAGTCATTTGTACTTTCTTTTCTAACTTTCTTTAAAGCCTCAGCGTATGAAACCTTCTCTGTTATTTTTATTCTTTGTGCTTGTCTTGCCTCCCTCTGTACTATGCATTCACCATATGCTGCACTATGTTCTCCCCCACAGTTACAACATTTAACTTTGGCATCTTTATCACACTTTCCATATTCATGTGAACCTCCACACTTTGCACACATAATTTCCCCTTTGCACTCCTTAGCGACATGACCCATTCTTCGGAAACAAAACATCACCATCATTGGGTTGGGAATGTACTCTCTCACCCTGAAGTTTATATAGCCAATCTGCACAGATTCTGGAATCACATTCTCAAACTGCACTACAACTGCCATGGTGTCTTTAACAACTCCATCTCTTTTGTGTTTAATCCTTGTTGCTTCACTTATTTTTCCTCCTTTTATTTTGGAACACCTGAAATTACCCCTCCTAATCTTGTAGCTGCGCCACAGATTTATGTTTTGATTCTTTCACCAACAAGAGTTGTCACTTTGAGAATCTGTTCTTGTTGTTTTTTGCTAACAGCAGAAATTAATATCTTATGGTGTTCATTATCCTGGCTGACTGGCTTGATTCGTCCAATTTCCTTCTCAATTGCTCAGTTGATGTAAGTATCCTCCCTCTTGTTTAAACTCGACTGTAACTTTCCACTCCTCTTCCCCATTTGCTGGCTCTCCCTGCGCTTGTATTCTCTGACTTGTATTTGTTTTTGTCTTTTTTACTTCTTTCTTCTCTAACCTCACACCCAATTGACCAACTTCTATCTTTTTCCTCTCTTCGCCTCATTTCAAGCTTTCTTCTTGAAGACCTAGACATCATCCACTCCATTTCCTCTCCACTATTTCCACCTGATGTGGAAGCTATAAAGCTACATTCAATATACAGTTTATGCAATCTGCCAAAAAGTTTTTAACTCGTACTCCGACTTCATTTGACACTTTTCAAAATTCAAAAGCAAACTATTGGCAAACATGATTACTGTGGAAAACATGAAACAATAGAACGTGTTATACTGGAATGTCATAAATATGAAAGCAAGAGAAGATATATGAGGAGAGAGTTTGAATGTATTAAGGAAAAGGTTAATTTATTAGATATTTTGAGGAAGAATTTGGGGAGTAAACATATACAAATAACTATTTGATTTTTAAAGGAAACTAAATTATTTCATAGAATTTGATTATAGAGAGGGTGAATGTGTGTTGGGTAGAATACAAAGTTATATATAAGTATGTAGTTTTTTTTCTTTTCGTTTTTTTTAAAAAAAAAATTAAAAAAAATAACCGTACATACATTTTATTTGTCAAATAAATAAATACATGGGCTCTATGAATTTTTTACATTTTAAAATGGCCTACATTTATCATTAACAGATTTATTTAAAAGACAATGAATCATAAAATGTATTTGAACGTTTTCAGACGAGGATAAGTGAAAGAAGATGGATGGATGGGATGGATGGAATAGATTAGAATAGAAGTTTCTTTATTGTCCCACATTGGGCAAATTCTGGTGTTTACAGCAGCAAAAAGATTATAGAAAAAATGGTCACACAAATGTGGACCTGAGAAAAGTGCAAAGGAATAACATGATAGTGAAGAGTTAAAAGATGAACAATAAAATACTGTATTCTATAGCTCTTTCAGACAGACTGCTGCACCCTAAATGCACCAGGGAGCGTTATCACAGATCCTTCCTCCCAGCAGTTGTAAGACTCTATAACCACCACTGTTCCCAACAATCTCAATAAGTTGTTACATTCATGCTGATTTTGCACAGTTTCTACCTTAGTCGGTTAAATAACATACTGCTGTCATTTTCCACATCTCTGATGTTGCTGCTATTTTACAAATTACTGTAAAAATGTCCTCCGATGTATACTGGTTATTTATTCTCCAGGTGCGCAGTTTTATATTTTTTAAAACACTTTACAGTACGGTATTTTGTTTATTTCTTTTTTTAACTCTTCACTATTGTGATATTTGTATGCACTCTTCTGAGGTCCACATTTATGTGACCATTTTTTCTATATTTTTTTGCTGCTGTAACACTAGAATTTCCCTATAAAAAGAGATTTTCTTTTCTATTGTATTCTATTCTATTCTACTCTATTATATTCTAGTCTATTCTTTTCTATTCTATTCTAATCTATTTTATTCTCTTCGACTCTATTCTTTTCTGTTCTATTCTATTCTTATCTATTCTACTCTATTCTATTCAACTCTACTCTAGTCTATTTTATTCTATTCTGTTCTACTCTACTCTATTCTACTTTATTATATTCTACTCTACTCTAGTCTATTTAATTCTATTCTACTCTACTCTATTATATTCTTCTCTATTAATTTCTATTCTAATTTATTTTATTCTATTCTACTTTATTATACTCTACTATATTCTATTCTACTCTATTCTTTTCTTCTCTAATCTAATCTATTTTATTCTATTCTACTCTATTCTTTTCTTCTCTAATCTAATCTATTTTATTTTATTCTATTCTACTCTATTCTTTTCTATTTTATTCTAATCTACTAGATTCTATTCTACTATATTCTTTTCTACTCTATTATTTTCTATTCTAATCTATTTTATTCTATTCTTATTTTCTATTTTATTCTATTCTTATTTTCTATTTTATTCTATTCTACTTTATCTATTCAAATCTCTTCTACTCTGTTCTATTCTATTCTCTAACTGCATCTAGTTTTTAAATGTATGTGTTTAATGTTTTTAAATGTAGATTTTTGTGTTTTCGGATAACCCGTTAAAGGAGCATCCTAAGTGGAACTTATGCTTTATTCTGTAACCGCCAGTTCACTCGGGCGACCCCGCATCCAGAAACAGGCGCACCCCGAGCTCCAGGCGGGACTTCCTCTCTCGTGCGGATGCGACATCAGGGCTTTGGCAGGCAGAAAGGGCTTGGTCGGGGTGTCACCGGGGTCCCGATCCGCGCGTCTCTCTCCGGATCCCGGCCGACTGGACGCCGCTGATCGCCCCCACATAGAGGAGCCCTGTCCTCGGCTATGCTGCCCTGAGACCACCGCCACCATCCAGCCCCGCCAACATGTCTGATGTCAACAGGACTGTTCAGAAATGGCACGCCAGTTTTAGAAAAGGCACAGACTTTGACTCGTGGGGGCAATTAGTGGAGGCGATAGATGAGTACCAAATGTAAGTTCCCAGCATGTGTGTCCTGTCTGTCCCCATCGGTTTACCCTTAAAGATGCGCTTCTCATTCTTAAATGTAGATTCAATCTAAGGCGGTCTGTGCTGAAACCTGCAGGGTTTAGATAACGGCTTCAGAATAAGTTATGCTGAGAGCTGTCAGTTCACAGCAGTAAATAAACCCTTCCCATCCATGACGTGATGTGGCATTTGTTGCAGAGGGAGTGGGGTTTGTCTGTGTGCTGCATCCACAGCAGCAGCTCCAGCTGTTTGATGGAGCCATGGAAAAACCAAAGAGAGCTTCGTGTTTTGCAGGGCAGAGAGAAAAAGAGCCCATATTCCTCAGAGTATTGAGAAATAGTCAGCCACACCCTCTCATTGTTATGGGTGGGTTTCATATGTGTTCACAGAGGAAAGGCTTTGTCCTTCTCTGAGAAAATCCTCCTCCCTGTTTCAGGCTGTAATCTTTTTTCATAATTATTCATTTGCAGCTGTTATTTTTAATAGTAAAAAAAGGCAAAGAACACCTGGCAATTCCATGTTTTAATCACAAGAGGGCGCCAGATTTCCTGCATTTAACATTAAGATTTTTCCTTTTGATTTGTCATTAATATTTTTTGAAAGCTTAAAACTTATTCTATGCTAGTAAAACCACAAGCATTTTCAGACTCAAATAATTCCCCTGGACTTTCTAATTAAATTCTGTTTATTGGAGGGGAAAGTATTAGCTTTGAGCTTTTTATAATAGTCATGGGATCCATTATAATAAAATAAAAGTGCTGAATTGTAGTGTGGTATATGACCACTGCTTTATAACCAGTAGACAAACAGATTTAACTTCAAAATCTGACTCTTGGATTTTGGTTTAATTTGATTTTTGTAAATTATTCTTAAAACTAGCTGTTTTAGTGCTTCAGTCCAGGACAGCTAGACCAAAACAGAAAGTAAGAAGCTTTTCTTTTGGTATTCATAGGAAATTATTTTGTGAATAAAAATCTTATGTGTGAACTACTTTGAAATAAATCACCGCGATTCAGTATGAAAATGTTTTTTTTCCTCTGGAAAAAGTAAATAGAGGTTATAAAAAATTATTTTAATCTGGAAAATGATTTGAAGTTTTCTTTTTTTCAGATTGCTTGGGCAAACTGCATTGATTAGAATAAAAAAAGGATAGAGGTTTTTTTTTTTCAAGCCCTAGAAGTTTGACCTGTAGAGGTTAACTTAGGCCTGGTTTTAGGGCTGAAACAATTAATTTGATTAATTGATTATTGAAATAATCGACAACTAATTTATAAATCGGTTAATCGTTAAATGGATTGTAGAGACTGTAAAAGATGCCTTTAGCTGACAGAGCGACCCACTTAGAGCGGTAATTATATCAAAATTGTAAAAAAAAAAAATATATATATATATATATATGTAAGCATTTTGCATTTAAGATTTAAAAAAACTTTTTTTCTGTTTATATGCTATATCCAGAACTCCTCAAGTGGAAACGTTTTAGTTTCACATGGTTTAATTTCGAAAAAAAATCTTCTTTAAGGAACCTTGCGCTGTCCAATAATTAATATTTAAAATAACTTACAGATTCATCTATTTGCGAAGTATTCCTTAAAGCAACAGAACCACCTTATGTGTTTTTATTTTATTTAACCAGGAAACCATTGAGATGAACATATCTTTTTTTCTTTCTTTCTTTTTTTTAGGAAAGTCTGGCTAGAACAGCATCCTTACATGTTACAAGTTACAAAACTTTGATTTTTGAATAAAATACCTAAAGGAAATAAAAAGATTTTCAATCAACATACAGTTGTGGTGGAAAGTTTACATAGCCTTCCATTAGAGACAGAAAAAAATCAGCTGCCAGTAAAGTAGATTGAAATTGACAAAAGTAATACTTAATACAAATGATAAAAAATAGTATTAAAGAGAGTACCACTCCCTCAGACCCTCTGTGGCATAGTGCAGATTAGAGGTGGCATATCAAAGGTTGCAAATAAGACTTTGTTTGGAGTCCTGATTTGACACTTTTGAATAATTTAGAAAGATTAAAAGTTTAAAAAGCCCTTCACTAATTGTAGTCAGAAGTGAATGTTAGTTTTTTTCTGTAAAACATTAAGCTTTAAATGGTAACGTTAAGTGTTTGATGATCTCATCTAACTGTTCATGTGCTATAATTCAGTCTAGCCAGACAACTACAGAAGGAGGTCCAGTCTACAAATTCTTCAGACTTCACAGAGGAGCAGAAGGTAACATTTTATTGAGTTATATTTTCCTTCCTGCTGCGTCTCCAGACCAAACTCTGCTGCTGCAGTTTAACTAATAACTGTTTGTGTTTTGTTTTTATTTAAAGAAAAACTTAGGAAAGATTGCAACATGCCTGGAGATGAGAAGTGCCAGTTTACAGGTTTGTTTCCTCATTTCTATGAATATTGGTAAATGATTTTAAATGGCAGATACCAAGCCTGGGCACTGTATGACACCCTGCAGATTCTAGACCCAATTCGGTCCAGGTCCACTTTGTCTATAGAGGAAACTGGTCAGTTGCTGAAGCATCAGTAGGTTGCAACAGTAAACGAAGAAAAGCATCACAGAGGTTGTAGCCTCATTAGAAAGATAGAGCTCACATTCTGGCTTTCCATGTAGCATGGTAGATGAGGCCTGCAGTTACCTGAAGCTCGTACCTCTGAGGATATTTTCTTTGTCTTCCAAAATGTAATCTAAAAATATGGACAGTAAGTAAATAATTTATTCTTAGACTTACAGTCCCTTGGAAAAAAATTAACAAACCTTTTGCATTTTCATATTTTGTTATAATTATACACCTTAAGGTTTTGTCATGGATCTATTTGATGGAACAAGCAAAATGCTGGATAAATGCCTGAAAAACTTTGCCTGATTATCTGCAAAACTGTCCAAGATCAGTGTAATTGGATGCAGAGCTTCTGTTAAGGACAATTTTCAGTTGTTTCCACAAACTATGAATAAATTTAGGTCAAGACTTGGCCGTTCAGCTAAATTTCAGATCTGAAGGTAAGGCTAGTTTATTAAAGCAAAAAGCTTTAAAGTGGTTCACATGAGGACGTAAGAGAATTAACTGAGATAAAAAGATTAATAACAATGAAAAGAAAAGTTGGACTCAAATGTAACAAGTTATTTTTAGAGCAAAGTCAAAGGCCACTCTAACATAAATCTGGATTTAAATCAGTTTAGGGTTTTAGTGGTTTTACATTTTCTGGGGGTTAATCCAGGTTAGGGAATATAGAAACTAAAGGCAGCTTTTATTGTTTGGTTCTGGGTATGCAAAGTAGATTAGATCCATATTTTGAAAATCATTATAAAGATCTGGTGCTAAATAAAAATGCATTCATTTACACTTATTGGTATACAAGCACTTACACTGGAAAAATTATCTAGAAATAAGTAAAAATGTCTTAAATTAAGTGTATTTACCATTAATTTGAGAAGGTAAATGCTATATTTTGCCAATGGAATGAGTATTTTTAATCTTAAAATATGATAATTAGATAATATGAACTTGAAATAAGACAATGCAATTGTGTTTTCTTATTTTAAATATAAATTGTCTTGTTCCATTGGCAAAATGCATCTTTTTCCTCCTCAATCCAAGAACAAATTTACTTATTTTAAGAAAAAATTACTTATTTAGATTTGGATTTTTTCCAGTGTAGGCATAGTGAATGAAGCACAGGGGATGTCATTAAGCTAAAATCAGCAAACATGTTTTTAATAATAGCTTACCGTAGCTATAATATGAGGAATTAAAAATACTTTGATCATTTTTAAATGCCTTCATTATGCCTGTTTTTTTCAGTGCACCCAGTCGAAGGAGGAATTCAAGTTAGAAGACCTCAAGAAACTGGAGCCTAGTGAGTGTCTGAACGTTGATGTTCACTAATTAGTAGGAGTTGCTGCTAAAATGTGTCCGTCTTTGTCCTTTTCTCCACAGTAATAAACAACATACTCACCTATAACAAAGAGTTTCCATTTGATGTCCAGCCTGTGCCATTAAGGTGAGCTTCCAATCAGTGAATGCTTCTTGTTGAAATCTATGGGTTTCAGGAAAATATTCTGGAATTTTTTTTAAATTGAACCTAATATTTTCTTGGCTGATTTACACTAGCAATATATTTAGCCGTAATCCAAATATTTATGCTGAAAGCGAAATGTGAGATTTGTTATAGTTTATCACAAGAAGTTATGTATCTATTAAAAAAAAGTCAGCTTAGTGTATTTTAGAAGCAAAAGATTATAAACAGAACTTTTACCTCCCTATTTATGGAGCATTGTTACTACCTTTTTTTTCTAGAGATATTTTTGGTTGATATGCATATTTATGTTGTCCGTCCTTAAGAAAAATGAATGTTTCCTTGCCCTCTGTCAGGAAAATCCTTGCGCCGGGAGAGGAGGAGAACTTGGAGCTGGAGGAAGAGGATGATGCTGCTGCAGGAGCAGGTTCAACAGAAGCTTTCCCACCGAGAGCTCCTGGTATGCTTTCTCATAACCAAGCACAGACTGAAGGCTGCTCTGGTTTGTCTTTGGACGCATGTTTGACCAAGTATATTTTTATCATATCTGTCGTTGCTGAGCATGGCTTCATCACTCATCCTAACCTGCATGATTCGCAGCATCCACAGATATGGCTTCAATCTTGTACAGAACACATCTCTATTGATTCAAAGATTCTAACAACTAGCAGATGCGATGAAAATGAACAAATTGTGTTTTTCAATGTTACATTTAGAGAAGATCTTTTTGACTCTGAGTGGAAACGTTTTCATTTAATCTTTTTTGCAAAGTTAGGGATATCTGTAATTCAGCTCTTTCCTAATAGGACATAGTTTACTGGTCCAGTTTGATTTATATGGAATCTGATCATTGCTGTTATTCACATTTAGCGTGCAAGATTTAAAATCATTCTCTTAGTTTCTCGTTTTTATTTATGTGTGTTGCTTCAGACAAGCTCCAGATTTTATTGCATGATTTCCAAACAGTCTAGAAAAGTATGAAAAATTTTAATAAGGATTTGCATGTTGAGACCTATTTTTTCCAGTCTTAGTCTCTAAATTCACAATTCAGTTATGTATCTATCTCACTTTTACTTTAATCACTCATTTCTAAACAACCATGCATATAACTTCACCTTAGGCTATGATAGATGGGTACCACCCTGTTAAAGCTACAGTGTGTAATAATTACGGGATATACAGTCAGAAATGTAATATATTATACATAACTATGTTATTTATTATCATCTACGAGCTCGTTGCCTTAGAATTTGTTATTTATAATTACATAGGAGCGGGTCTCGCAGCCATGGAGGCAGACATCTTTGGGCTACGGCAGCGCAGAGCCAAAAAACTAGCGATTGCGAGATCGCCAAAACGTCACAACGATGTAGAAAAAATAACGGGTATATTTATTATCTTAAGTCTACATGAAATCTATACCCTACACAGACTAATGAAATACTATCTGTAAAATTATCTATGTAAACAAACCTCATCACTTGAGAAGGTAGGTGATGCGGACGTCGTGGAAGACATTTTGTCCCGTAACGCTCGCCGCACTGTTGGGGGGGAGATGTTCATGTTGCTGCAGTCTGCAGTGTGACCGCTAGATGTTGCTAAAAGTTACACACTGTAGCTTTAACTGAATTTTTGAAAGATTATGCCAAAATAATAGATATCCAGATAGTAATAATAAAAACATTTGCATTATTTTTGAAATACTTCAAATCAAATGTAAAAAAATTACAAACAAGCTTCTAGAAAATAAATATATTGCAATAACTTTTATTGAAGGAGCTAATCTTTTCTTTCTGCTTGTTTTACAGGTACCCTGTTGCCACGGTTACCCTCAGAACCTGGAATGACACTACTCACAGTAAGAATAGAAAAAATTGGGTTGAAAGACGCCGGCCAGTGCATCGATCCTTACATGAGCATCAGCGTCAAAGGTAATCACTTCATAGACAAGGTTTTCAGCCGCCATCTTGTTTTTTCTCTGTCCCAGAGGGAAACATCTAATGACCTGAAGAAAGATCACCTTCTTCCAGTCATGAAAACCTGCCTCTGTCTGTGTGTTCTGCCTTCAGATATGAACGGCGTGGATCTGAACCCAATGCAGGACACTCCTGTGGCCACCAGGAAGGAAGACACGTACATTCACTTCAACGTGGATGTAGAAATTCAGAAGCATATAGAGAAATTACCAAAAGGTGATTACTGTCATTGTGTAGAAACCAATTGATTCAGAGGCATTTTTTTTGCTTCTTTGCTTCATGTCCTGGCAGGAAATCTGAGGCAATGCTGGTAAATCAGAAGCATGTGGTGAAATTTATGTGGGACTGGTTGCAATACTGTTTACTGGCAGATTTGTACCACAAAAGACCCCAGGAAATAGTTACAGAAATCTTACATTGTTAAAGTAGATTTATGAATACATAATCACTTGATTTAAAAAAAAAAATCTCCTAATTAAAAACATAGCTAACTTACAAGAGAAACAAACTAATTTTCACCTTTCAAGTCTTCCAAAGTGTCCTTTTAAAGGTGTGTTCAGACTGAACGCTGTCTCCGCTGGGTTTTATAGGTGGGATATTTTGCAAAAAACATTTAATCCGAAAAAATGTCTTCCTTTCAGCCCTCATAGATAAAATCTCTAATTTCCTCAAACTGTTTCGTACTGATGACACATAAATTGATGCGGTGGTGAACTCCCTGGTTTTAACTAATCTCAAACATATCATTTGAAAAACAAATTGGAAATATTTATACATTTTTTTGGTTGGGATTTTTAGAGTTAAAAACTAGACATCACAAACATGTTTAATGTGATTAATCACACTTTATAAAGTTTGCATAGTCTTTTACTATGCGATTATGAAAAACCATTCATACATCAACATACAGTCACTGTGTTCAATGGGATTTTATATTATAGAATCCAAAAAAAGAAGTTTTTTGGATTGTATTGGTAAAATACCCCAAATTAAGCAAAAAAAAAAAAAAAGTTGTTTAAAGCTGCAAATGATAAAACACAACTTATTATTTTTGTTAAATATCTGCTGTAGGAAAAGTGTTGCCATTTTCAATTTCTTTTTTATATTTTGAAGGTTAAAAACTAGGGTTGAAAAGGAAGTGTGAGTTGTCTTCAAAAGGGTTTTATTTGATGTGTAAACAAATAAAAAAAACAAAAGCTTAAAACTATTTTTAAGCTTGTGTCAAAAATTTAGACCCTAAAAACTTATTTCTGGTTATTTAATTGTTATTCTATAGAGAAAATTTTATAAAATAAAAAATATATATACCTGCTAAAGCTTCTCAGATTGGTATCTATCATCAAACTGTATTCAAAACTATAAGTTAACATTTTTAACCCCTATTAAGACCAAGGTTCCAAAGAGCCATAGGTTGCAGACCTCTATAAACAAACAAACATTATTGGATAAATTGGTGGAGGAGAAAAACATACATATACTTTACTAATGCATTAAAATCTTCCTCATCAGTGTCTTCAGCCTGTATTCAGTCCAGGTGGACTGGTTAATTGAGGTTCCTGTGGTTTGTTAGAGAATAACAGCAATATGGAGACAGAGGAAACATAATAGGGGCAGCATCATGCTGTGGGATGGCTTAAACGCTTTAAATTTACAAATTTTTCATGTAATGAAAAGAAGAAAGTAGGAGTTCCACTTTGATTTCTTCCGCTGTATATTTAGTCATGGTATTGATATAAAACTAACGTCTTCTAGGTGCAGCTATCTTCTTTGAATTCAAGCACTACAAGCCCAAAAAGAGGTTCACCAGCACAAAATGCTTCGCCTTCATGGAAATGGATGAGATCAAACCTGGACCCATTGTCATTGAACTGTGAGTGTGTTTTTTTTTTTTTTTTTTTATAGCAACTATTACATTTCCAGAAAATCATGACATAAAAAGGAAACACATTTTTTTTTCTTTCAGGTACAAGAAGCCCACAGATTTTAAGAGGAAGAAACTGCAGCTGCTCACCAAGAAGCCACTTTACCTCCATCTTCATCAGACGCTACACAAAGACAGCTAAGCCTCCTCTTTGGACACGCCCCTTTCATCTTGCTGCACATCCGGGGAAATGCGGTGCTCCTCCTCATCGTCACATTCAGCAATACCAAATCAAAGGCTGCAGTGTGAAGAACTTCAAAGAAACTGATGCCCTCACACAGATTTTATGAATTAATGTGCATTTTCTTTTTTCCCAAACTTACACCAGCAGCAGCATGTTAAAGCAGGTTGAGACTCATCATGTTCAGTCTTCCACACACAGCTTTCTGATTTGTCCTTTGTGTTTAAGGAAGGGGATAGGTACTTCACTTTAGCGGTTTGCTTTTTTTTTTTGGTGTTATCCCCTCTGAACTCTGGACTTGCAAATGGGAAGAAGTAAAACATTAACTCTTTAATCCAAGCACTGCGTTGGGAAAACTCTAATCCTTTTCTGGAGCTTTTTATTTGTTCAGCTTAAAGTTTGCTCTCTTATTGCTGCAGAATGCGTCAGTAAAAGGGGTTCTAACTCGAGGGCATTTAATCACTAAAATTGCAGCAGTGAAGATGTTACTGAGCCAACATGTCAGCTTGTGTGCCATAAGGAATCAGTAGCGACAGAAATATGTCCAACTCATTCGTACAAGAGCTTAGGCAGATTCAGGCACAGTTCCATAATAAAAACTGATTTCAAAGGGAACAACCCTGCCAATTGTGCAAAAATATGTTTGGCAGGATTTGCTGCAGCTAGAATAAAATAAATAAGTAGGTATTTATAACTTGTCAAAAGTAAATAACTTTAATTATAAACAAATCATTAAAATCTTTAAATGTTGAACAAACAATACAGTTCTGTGAAAAGTATTTGCCCTCTTACAGATACAAAAAAAAGATCCTGTTTCTTTTATCCCTCATTTAAATGTTTAGGATCAAATAAATGTTATCAGCAAATATTACTCGAGTAAATAAAAAATATAGTTTTTTTTAATCCTATTATTTATCAAAGACAAACATTTCAAAATGTACTAAAATTGAACAGGGTTTCTTTTTTCTTTTTAAACACAATAATTGGTTTCCTCACCTTTGGCGGCAACAACTTTTTATTATCTAACGAACAAATTGGACCCAGGACTTTAATCTTATCGTCCCTAAAATGCTGCACTGGTTCTTGGTCATCAGGGTAGAAACTTTTCCATGGAAGCCATTTTTGTTCAGTCAAAATGTTGGATCATTAACACTGATCTTAACTGAGGTAAATTAGATCTGTGGAGCTTTAAAATGTTCCGTGTTCGTTAAGGACCTCCTAGCTGGGTCAGTAATGCCCTCTTGGAGTCAATCCTGTTTAACTTCTACTGCCAGGATGGTTCCTGTGGTTTTTCTGGATTCCTAAAGACTAACCAGACTGATGTCAATGACTTCTGCAGTTCTCGAATTTCTTTAATGGTATTTTGCATTTTGGGTTCTTTAAGCCTACTTCATGCTGTCAGACAGTTTATTAAAGCGTGTTTCTTGCCTCTAATGCCCTGGTGGTTCTAAGGCCTGGGTGCAGCAAGTAAGATCTAACCCAAAAAGAACTTACACTCACATTAAGCCATTAAGAAAAAAAACATTTAGTGTGTAAAAGTACTTTCTATATTTCATTCTATGGTTCATTTATGTTCTCGCTTTAACATCCCACAAGGCTTTGTTTGGTCACAGCTTTTATTTATAATCAGTTCAGGTTTATTCTGTGCTCGGGGGTTAAAAGGAAGAAATCTGCCTCACAGTAATTCTTTTTAGTTTTTATTTAAATGAAGCAACAACAAACAATTTCAATGTTGTTTAAAACCCTGTCAAAAACTACAGATTGTACTGATTTTATCCAGTTTTATTTTAACATAACATTCTCAGCTACTATTTTAATAAGATTGTTTGCAAAAGGATGCGTTAAAGTTGTCTTGGTATTTAAAGGAGCTCATTCCCCTTTAGTAATTTCCCCACTTATTTAGTATTAAAGTGCAGTTTTACATCTGACAAAATAAATCAAATGAATGGAGCAAAGTTTGAAAAAAGTAGTTTGTTCAGATTTTTCCAAACCTGAACTGTTTTACCTCAAGACGAAGGTTAAATGAAGCTGTGATAAGTAGCATCTTTACAGGACGATTGTTCAAAAAGAATCCATTACTTTGTAATGCTATTTAACTTCACTGTCACATGTACCTGGTAAACAAATCTGATTGCAGACTTTATTTTTGTAATGTCACTTAAATGAGGACAGCGAATTAACTTGTGAGATTGGCTGTGTCTGAACGTCCGCCCTAACCCTTATACAGATCACTATATAGGGGTTGCATTTTATGTCTAGTGGATTAAAAAGCAGTGCAACCAAAATTACCCACAATGCACCTTGCAAACTAGTGGTCACTAGATAAGTAGATATATCCCAGAAAAAGCTCTCCTCACAAAGCATTATGGTATTCATCTTTGGGGCGAGAGAGAACAAAGATGGCCCCCACTCTATATAGTGATGGAGGGGTTAGGGAAGACGTTTGACGCAGCCATAGACTAACTGTAAATGTGTGTCAGGAACTGTTTGCCATTTCTGTTGACATATTTGTTCAAACATTTACAGTTATTATTTGAATGATAAACTATAACCGAGGCAGTTTGTAACCAGTTCCCATGAAATTGTGTTTTGTAATGAAATATAAAGTTGTGCCTAAATGTATAGAGCCCCTCCTCCCAAATATGTTTACCTAAGTTTGATATTAAATATGCAGTTTTAACAGTGGTGTCAAAAGTACACACATTTCTTAATTAGAAGTATAGATACCGCAGTTTAATAAACACCAATAAAAGTTGAAGGATCAACTTGACCTCTTTGCTCAAGTAAAAGTAAAAAAGGAAGTGCTCCAAAAACTACTTAAAGTACAAAAGTATGAAGTAACCTTTAAAAACAAAACAGCCAGATGCCACTATATGAACTGAAAGCTCAATTTTTCGACTATTTGGAAAAATTCTTTGAGATAGGTCCAAGGATGAGGGAGGTCTTGTTGGTCTCCATCTCCCGATACGCTCTCGCCTGTGTCCGACCTTTCAGACATTTCAACATCTTTTTCTGCATCCTACATTGTAGCATGGCATAGACAATTCACGTTTGCAGTTTGAAGAACACCTGCTTGCTTCTGATGATTTCCTTTAGCTAACCAATGAGTGCTTGCGTTATATGACTCATCTAATCACACTAGTTTTCACTAGATGTGAATGGTAGCAATGATCTGCATTGAATGGAGCACATGACGTGAAATAAATATTTATAAACATTAAACCGAAGCCAAGAGTAACGAGTAATATTTGTTTTAAAAATGTAAGGAATAGAAAGTAAATATACTTCTGTAAAAAAAGTAATAAGTAGTCAGAAGTAGGAACAAAAATAAGTAATGGAGTAAAGTATAGATACCTAAAAACTGTACTTAAGTACAGTAAAAAAGTATTTGTAATTTATTACTTGACACCTCTGAGTTTTAATAAGTGTCACAATCATTCCCTTTGTTTAGGACTGACCACAGGTTCTTAGCAGGATTAAAATCTCTAAATTTCAGAGGCATTTATTTCCTTGGATTTGAAAGCTGCTCTTGGTCGATGAGTTGAAACCATTCCCTACTCATGGCGCCGTCTTTTCTTAAAAGAATAAAAATCATAAGGAGGCTTTGTCCTCTGCACTCAAATTTTCAGTTTTAACAGTGGATTCTCTGCTAGTTTTATGTACCAAACCAGCTTCCAATGGTCTCAGCTTCACCATAATTTATAAACAAACTCACACCTTCCTCCTGCCAGTTTGAGCTCTGCACCAGTGGCAGTCGCCCTTGGCTAAATGCTTTACTCCAACCTTCTTTGCACTTAACTTTCTTGAACACACTGACACTTTCTACATATTTCTTTTACATTTCTCCTTGAGGTTATTTATTCAATAAATGGGTATAATCTTTGCACTTAGGCGCAGATGATAACAGGTCACTTTAGCTGCAGGTCTTAAAATTGACATTTTATCTAAAGTCAGTGCAGGACACTTTTTTATCTGAATGCAGTGAAGATTACAGAGGTAAGAACTACAGTAAAGACGTACAAGAAGAAAATATGCATGTTTATTTAAAACAAGGTATCTAGATTTACTGTCCTCAAAAACAAGATTTAACCTGGGCGAGAAAATAAGCAGTTTAGTTGGAATGAGGCGGATTAACTCATTGGGGGTGGGTTTCTGAGGTCTGATTGGTCTGCATTATTTTTCTTCTTCAAAACTCATAAAAAGCAGATACTTTGTTGATTAATAACACTGAGATTTCCCATTCTTTATTTTTTAAAAGTTTAAGCCAACATAGTAAAATAAGTTACACATCTGGCCATTCATTTATACATTTCCTTTCTATGGTTTGTAATTAACCAAGGGGGTTTCCTGAAATGTTAAAAATAAAATTTCTCATCTCTCACCTTTTTTTAATAATTTCCACAGGAAACAACATCTAAAAATGTGCCCCTCTAAATCATATTTGTTTAAAAGATTAACACAACTGGTATTGCACAATAACCTTAAAAAAAAAAGAAAGAAAAAAGTTCTTAACTCATGAATTTTAGAGACAATTTCTGATTTCTTTAAGACCTTATATTTTAATAAACATCCTTGTATTTTGTTAGACAGAAACGTGAAAATCATAATGACCCTTGTCTGGACTTGATTTGTGTCGCTATTCTGTTGCGTTGGGGGTGAAGCTTCGTTTCTGCAGGAGGAGGTGCTGTTAAGGCTAGACCATCCCTGGTCTGACTGAATCCTGAGGAGCATCCTGCTTCGTGTGCAGGTCCTGACTGGGGCCACTCTGAGGACCCATTGAGTTCTGGGGGTAACTGGGTGCACCCTGACTGTATCCGTCACCTGGATGTGCAGTATGGACCCCAGGATGCGGGACTCCAGGTGGTGGAACACCAGGAGGCAGGTCCATAGGTGGCCTCATGTGCTCTCTTGGTCCTGGAAAACGCATGTCAGGTGGGAGAGGTGGTCGGGGTCCCAAAGGTCCACGGAGACCTAAGTAGAGTTAATATTGGGGGGGGGAGGCATAGCGTGAAACACAGATGAGAAATTAGAGGAACGAATATCTGAATAAAAAAAACTATTTCTTCAAACTTCCAAGTGTCAGAAACAGAATCCTTGCCTAGTGGAGTTTTATCACATTCCGAAAAAACTTTCGCTTTTAAAAAGTACTTTAAATCTTTATCAGTTATATTTATACAGTTCTAAAAATAAAAGCTTAAAAGAAAGTTGGATGCTCATTTCTATCAAAGGATGTTTCAAAATATTTACTGGAAGACATCTAGAGAAGTTTTACTCCTTGTCAGCCTAGTTAGACTTGATGGATGGAGTCTGAACATCCATTTCCAAGTCATTCCAACGGTTTCTGGTTTCTATTTGAGTCTGAAGTTTGACTGAACCATTTTAAATTGTGACTGAGTTTTTATTTAAACCATCCTAACTCTGGTTGAATTTTTGAAAACTTCAAGAAGTTGAACATTTTTCTGCAGGCTATGACAGGTTTTCTCCACCCGTATGGGTTAAAAGCAAACCTACCGAGCGGTGGAGGCATCGGTCCATAACTATGAGGAGGAGGGGGACGAAAATGTGGCGGTGGGAGTCGGGGATCCGGACCAGGACCCATTCTGGGTTGGAATAAATGTCCGTTGGGAGGTCGAGAGCCAAACTCCCCACCCATGGATCCAGGCAGGGGCATACCAGGGTGTCCGTTGGCAGGAGGAGGAGGGCCATGAAGGGGAGGGCCTGGGGGGAGCGGATAAGGACCCGGTCGGGGATGTCCATAAGGTCCAGGTGGGGGGAGGCGGACATTGGGTCCTGGAGGGAGAAGGGGGTCATGTGGTCCCGGGCCTGGTGGAGGTCTTTGAACCATAGAACCCGGTGAGTCTCTGATTGGTGATGCCATGAAGGAACCAGGTCCCTGAAACGACATGAGGGAAAACACCATCTAATATGTGTAGTGAAATATTTCCAGTGGTATTAGAGGGAATAAATGTTAGCCATGCAGTAAAGAAACCCACTTCCCCCCCCCCAAACAAGCTGTGCAATAAACCATTAATCGCATGAGCCATAACCACAAATGATAAACCTGTATCTTAATTCAGTGCATTTCCTGTCAGTGCTGTGAGTAAAACCACAAAGGAAGGAAAAGAAAATCTTTAAATGGCCCAAAAGTTGACCAAGTCCTTGATTCTCCTCCCATATCCAGATTCTCTTATAGGTGGGGAGAGAAGGAGGAGATGGTGTGCTCGCATTCACCTCCACACCAGGACTTCACCATGTTTATACTCACTGGCTCTGGACTCTCTCTGGAGGCCACAGCCTGACTCTCTGTTTTTATCTGTGGGTCTATCACTTCAGTCTGTTTTAGAACAAGGACATTCAACAGGTGAAACTTCCAGAGTCTCCCTACATTTACCAATGAAGGGACAGATGGGATGTAAATACTTCTATCTGAATAATAAATTACTTACTGATCCATCCAGGTTAGCAGGAGAAGAGCTTCTTGGGCCCATCATGTCTGAAAGAAGAGAAATGGTGTTTCACCCCGATTGAAAGCAAAATGAATGACATGAGATTTCGGAGAACTTACCCATCCCTGGGATGGATTTGTTTTCAGGGTACATGCCATGTGGATCGGATGGAGGTCGAGGACCTGAAGGAAGAACAATGAGAGAATAATGATGATGAGGACTGAGTCCAGTTCAGGTTTCTAACTGAAGAGGTCGTATAACATCAGAAAAGGAAAATAAGGTTAGGAAAAACATCATTTGAAAAGAAAGTTTCTTGCTCTACTAGACAGTTTCAATATATTTTTGTTTTCATGTTTGGAGTCAGCAGAGCCCACTAAAAAAGTGGGAATTGTTAATGGACAAAAACACTGGGAGACAAGGGTGGAAGGAAAGAGCACAACATGCCGAATGGTGAATGAATGAGAAAAAGACTGAGTAAAGATATAATTGAATGTGAGGGAAAAATGATCAACTGACAGATGGAAAGAGTAATGGTTGAATGGATTGATAGTAAAGACAATACATAAATCAACAAAAAAAAAGCTGCAGTTGAATGAACTGTGTGACAAATTGATAAGACAGCGCTTACAGGATGAGTTTTAGTTCTGTATTAAACTCTCCAATGTTGCTTTATATTCACTGTTAATTGTTTCCTCATTTTAATCTGTCATAAAACAAGCTGCCTTTAACTTTCCTCCATGTCAAGTAAAACGGTTATCTTAGCCTATGAACCATTTTGTGGTCAATAGTAATTTAATTTCTGATGTGATCAGATGAGATTTTACATTGAAAAGAGGACATATTTAAACACGTTTGCCATTTTTAAAACTTCCAAAACTGTCTTTAAGAGCACTGGGTGATTGCTTTCCATCCTTAACTTGGAATCATCTTGGAATAAATCAGAAATCAGAAAGTGATGAGGGTTTTTAAATCCCTTTTTCTCAGTTTGTGCTCTGCTGACTTGTTGCTACTTTTTTCATGGCGTGTCAAATATGTTTGGATGGATAAACAGACTACAAGGAGAAATGAAAAATGTAAAGACAGAAAAATACTTTAAGACATTAGAATAAGGCCTGCAAAAACTAATAATTTTTAAGTTATTAGCATTCTCAAACATACATTTTCCACATGTAGATATAAAGATAATCATCTTATCTAGATACCACTGCTGATGAAACTGAAGTTAAAAGGGTAATAAACACACAATGAAGTCAACTGCAACACAAATATAAAAAAAATAAAAATATGTGTGCATGGTCTGATGGTTTACCAAAATGAAATTAAAAATGGCAGCACCAGGAAAGAGAAGGACAGGATACAAAGCAACTAAAGAGGAAATGAAGCATCAAAGTGAAAGCTGGAAAAGAAAAAAAAAATGTCAGATGTGAAAAGGGAGTAAATTATAGGCAGTTGTTCGGAAGAGATGACGTCCAGCTTTGGTGCGATCAAAGTAGGTGAAGAGATCCACTTGGACTCACCATACGGCTCAATTCTTCGCCCTACTGGGGCAGAAGGAGGGCGCCTCGGACCCTCGATCATTATAGGAGGGGATGGAGCTCCCCCACTCACAGGAGAGGGTCCATATGAATCACCTGTTATGATCATACCATCAGTTTACTAACATAATAAACTAACAAACACAAGAGGTAGATACTCCAAGGATTCCTAAACAGCAGTCACTTAGATGAGAAAAGAAAACTGAAATACTCCACTCATTTAGGCAAGCCTAAAGGGAACAGGATTCTGTTGTTTGATGCTGTGGAATCAATGTGCTCTGGAAAGCAAAAAATAAAAAAGGTTGTGTGTTTTTACCTTGACGTGGAGCAGCAGGCTGACCAGAGTTGGGCCTAAACAGAGGAGCACGCCGCTCATTCAGCTGGGACGCAAGTATGGACAATCTGTTTGAATTAAATCACAAACTATTAACTGAAGGTCAGGTTAAGAGTATTTATATATTTTTTATACCATGGCCTGGGTAAATGTTTGATTCAGATTGGCTGCAGGGTGCCTTAAAAAAGCAACATGAGACATCTATAAAAAATCCCAATCAAATGGCGACAATAATCTATGTAAAATCCATTCATTTCTGTTAATGGACACCGCACAAAGCACCATCCCTTACATAACTTCTCATAGTATTTATTGCATGATCACTTTTCTTTCCAGCTTTCTGCCAAAAAACTTTCACAGGTCAAAAAAGTTGAAATTTAGATGATTCTGTATCATTCAGTCATTGATTCAACACTCACTTTTCACGCAGCCGTGAGGACTCCACCTTTTCTTGACTTAGAGCTCGTTCAGCATTACGGGCATTCACCTGAGGATAATGGTGGGGATCATCATCACGCATTGCTTTTCATAAAGAAACGTTTAAAAAAAAATAATTTGCCACTTTTCACCAACATTATTGTGAAAAACCTGAGGGTTTGTTACGTGATAACCTAAAGAAAATTTGGGTAATTCATGGTTTTAAAATTTTTTTTATAGAAATATCTAGAAGGTGTGGAGAACATCTTTATTAAGCCTCCCTGTTTAACCCATTTAGGCCGGGAAAGCATTACCGCATTTCTACCATTCAAGCCGGGGGTGCTGTTGCGTCATTCTACCATTGACGCCGGGAGAGCATATAAGTCAAGCAAGAAGAAAGAAGTTTTTTTCAAGCAAACATGGAGGAGTTTGACAGAGAAGAGTTGTCGGAAGGCAGTGATTTTGAGGAGTGTGTCGGCTTTGATGACGGTATAGATGAAATGATGACTTTGAACGCGCTGAACCAATCGAACTACCACCGCAATGCACGGAGTGTTTTCAACCGCACACCTGGAGTGAAAGTTGATTTGCCTGCAGACGCCACACCGCTGCAGGCATTTGAGCATATTTTTAATGAAGAACTTTGGATGCATCTAGATACCGAGACGAATAGGTACAGTGACCAAACAAACCAAACTCCAACAAGAGCAAAGATGGCAAAGTGGTCACCCGTGACTGTGACGGAGATGAAGACATTTATTGGGCTGTGTATGTAAACCTCTCTTCAGGACGCAGTTCCCCCTAAATATGTCCCGGGACAGATTTGTGGCCATCTGGAGGTAGGTTGTATGCAATTTATAACACAGACATATGCATTATTATGCATAATAATACTGTTAATAAGTAATCATCAGATAGTTATTTATGTAATGTTTGTTCTTTATTTTGAAAACGTTTTATATTGCACATTCTCAATGAAGACATGATCACATATGGAAAAAATAAAAGGTTGAATTTTTTTTTTTTGATTACTGCTTTTCACATTTTTTTTTTGGAAGAATTTCAAAGATAAAATATATTTTGAGTTCTATCTGCTACAGAAGCTGAGATATCAATAATTAAGGCGTTGACACAGTTGCTGAATTTACAGAAAAACTTCAGGTTTTAGGGGTATTTTTTAAAATCGGCCATAGGTTTTTAAGGTGTTTTTTCCAGGCGTTTTAGGCCTAAATGGGTTAATTACCATTAGAACCACGCTTTTCTAAAAAGGAGGGTTTCAGGACTTTCGGAGTATCTCTACTGAGTGAACACTTTACACCCTTCTTGTAAAATAGATTAACCTCAGATTGGATCAAAGGGTACCTGAAAAGGAGTTTTCGAATCTTGGCAAATATTTTTAAAAGGGTATTAAGTTTGAGTTTTGTCTAGGCCATTCATTTTAACAAATGAATGTGCTTTCAATTAAATTATTTCATTGGGGCAGTTTCCACAAAACTGTTTCCAGCAGTTAACTGGTTCTACAGCTTTCTTATTTGTGTTTCCATTCAGAAAAACTCTGTACATTAACACCAGATTAGTGGAGGGTATGGCTAACTGTCCAGTGAACTCATTCTCTGACCTGTGATCTTGATCTTTGCACTTAAAATCTCAACTAGTTTGAGGTGTAATTTGACAACATGTAGAGAGGTCTGAAAACATTTCTAGTGTTAAATATATAGCAAACCAGTAAATAAACTCTCTGAAGCTTACCCAGTTGGAGTGAGTTTTGTTTTCTTGCTCTTTTATCTAAAAATGATCAAACAAAACAAAAAAGTTAAATGTGAATTTTCCCTTCTGTGCAATAAATTAAAGCTATTAACAAACCTACCTGCTCTTTATAAACTTCCTCCGTCTTCTTCATCTGCTCCTCCATTTCGTTAATGCGTTGTCTTAAAAGTTTAACCTGCTCCTCAGCTTCCACAGCTTTACCTCCCACCTCAGACAGCAGACTTTCTTTGCTGCGTCGCTCCAGCTCCTCCTTTGTTAATCTCCTGTGAAGCAACACATTTAGAACATCAACAAGAAAAAACTGCTTCAAATCTCATTTGCATTTGAAAACTTTGACACCTTTAAACAGAACGTTTGATTACAACCATATCTCCCCAAAAGATATATTCACATTAGGACCGAAACAATTAATCTGATTAATCGATTATTGAAATAATCGTTACCTACTTTAGTAATCCATTAATTGGTAATTGGAGTGTAGGAACACTAAAACGTGCCTTTGGCTGACAGATCAACCCAACCTGAGCAGCAATTGTACCAAAATTTTACCAAAAAATATATTAACATTTTGCATTTACGATAAAGAAAACTTTTCCGTCTGTCAATATGCTATATGCAGCTCTCCACAAGTGGAAAAGCTTCAGTGTCACCTGTTTTAATTTCATAGAAAGTGTTCTTTAAGGAATCTTATGCTCACCGATTATTAATCGAAAAATAATGGACTGATTAATCGATTTGCAAAATAATCAGTTGCAGCCCTAGTTCACATATTTAGGCAACAGGGCTTAATAACAGAACGAAACAAAACACTGGGGTGGGATTTTTCACTTACTGCTGTAAAGCATTTTCCTTCTGCTGATACATTTCAACCATGATTTCATTTTTCTGCTGGAGAATCTTGTACTGGTTTTCAATCTGACTCTTCTCACTTTTGAGGGCTCCAATTGCATGTTCCAGCTCCCGGTGCTTCTCTGTTTGGAAAAAAAAAATCCTTAAAATATTTAACAGGAAGTAATAATGGATTAAGGGAAAAAGCAGTAAGACAAGATGATCTCTTAAGAAATTATTTTAGGACTGACCTTCAAATTCTTTTCTAGACTTCTCTTCGTCTAACAGTTTGGCCATGAAGCGGTCCCGCTCTTCTTCAATAACTGTGAGAGTTGTCTGGACCTTTTAGAAAATGCCAAACAAAAAAATAAATGTGTTAAAGATGCACAAACCAAAACATCTGCCAAATGTGTGTAAAACTCTTGAATCTCACCCTGGATACATCCATCATCTGCTTGATTCTGTTCTTTATGGCTGTTTTCTTATCAGCTGATGATCCTGAAAGAAAGGAGGCAAAGAAGGAATTAACTAAAACATATTCACAGAAAGTTGGCTTAAAATTTTTTTCTTTGCTTGGATGCATATATATACACATGACGGACTCACCCGGTGCTACTTCGCCATTCGCTAAGACATTGGCTTCACCTTTGTGCAAATCACATGCATCCAAGTCTGCCAGAAGTTCAGAGAGCACCTAACAGAAGAACAGTTTTACTTAGAGTTTGAATACAAGTTATGACAGAGAACATTATGACAGAGAAATGGTGAGAAGACCAACCTCCACGTTGTGATCTTTTAGCACAACTGAATCCTCCAGTTCTTTATGGGACTTCTGATAAATCTTAATCTTATCATTCAGCTCCTTGTGTTTTTCCTCCCAACTTTTGATATTAGTTTTAAGCTGTGAGGAATAAAAAAGGCAAGAGATTATAGAAACAACTGATGCAAAAACATCCCCCCAAAGGGTTTCTCACCATTTTATTCTCTTCTTTTAATGCTGCAAACTCTTTCTGCAAACATTTGTGTTGAGCATTTCGTGCATCTTCACGAATCTTAGCTTCATCCAAGAGAATAGTTGTCTGTGATGAAACAAAACCACATTTAAAGCTTCAACGTGTGTTTAAAATGGAGATATCTTAGAAAACAAAAAGCACGCAGGACCGTACCTTAGCTAGTGCTTCCTGAATCCTTTTCCGGGTGACTTGCAACTTTTCATTCGCCTTCTCTAATTTTTCTATCTGTTAAATATGAATGAAATGGAAAAAAATAAAAACATTAGAAAGTTTCAATAGCAAAATATTTATTTCATTCTAATTATCCATTTCTTAGGACAAGATGAAAGAGAAAGAAAAGTTACTCTGCTGTCATTCTGGAGAGAGTGAGTTCGCTCTTCTTCTAGTAGATTCACATATTTCTGCTTTTCTTCTGCCATTTGTTCATTAATCTTTTCGGCTTCTCGGACTTTACTCTGCAAAAGGGAAGCAGACAAAGTCATTTTAACTCCTCTAATAATCTCTTCAAGAGTAATTTTCTTTTCAGGTAAAAACTTTAGGAAAGGCAACAGCAAATTTGGTCTCAACGTGAAATTCAAAACTATCAGAGTTCAAATAACGATAGAAAAAATACCAAAAGTTTTCCTTACCTCCAAGGCTTGCATCCTTTTCATTGTTGAACTCACAGTTTCCTTTGACTGTTTCTGGTTTTCTTTAAGTTGCTCAGTCTTGAAATAAATGAAATACATTGTTAAAATAGTCATTCCAACAAGCTTTTATAATATCTGATGCCATCTATGTTTTAGCTAACCTGCTTTTGAAGTTCGGATATTCTTGCGAGAGCATCACTCTTATCTTTTTTGAGTGTTTGGATTTTCTCCAGAATCTTTTTCTCATCCACTTGTTTTTTCATAAAACATAAAGAACATCATTAGGGAGGTTTTATGCTACAGCTTTGTGTTTGAAAAACATTATAAAGCCTAAACTTACCAAGGTATTTACTCTTCTTCACCTAAAACAAAAACCATGAAGATGAACATCAATGTCATGTTTTGACAAAAAGATTTATCAAGATAAACTGGGAATAAAGGTCCAAGAAAAATCTGTAATCTGGTACGATCTACGTAAAGTTTAAATATGTATATGCCATTGGCATTCTCCAGCTTTAAAGTAAGTAGAAATAGAAGCAGAAATATTCCATCACTTACTGCTAATACGTTCCTCCAGAAGAAGACGGTGAAGGTAATCACTCCAATCAAAGCTGTGACAACAACAGCTTGCCAAGGACAGCCAAACATCGTTTCCCCTGGCTTCCACTCCTCTGGTAGCAAAGAAATCATCTGAACCACAGAAAAAGAAAACGGTATAATTAGGCTAGAAAAAGCATTTTTTTTCGGGGGTCATTAAAAACAAAGCTTTGTGACAAGTAACATTTGAATAACATTACAGAACAAGAGGCTCTGGTCGTTTTATAATTTTATTCCTGACCCTTTCTGCTGAGGGATCTTTTAGACCGTCTTTAACAGCTGAATATTTAAAGCAACTGTATGGTGTTCTATAACGAAATTAGGTTGTAGAACGCAAATAAATATCTGCGAGCTCAGAGTTATTGTGATTTGAACTGGGTTGACAAGCTGTCATATATTGCAAGTTTCAATTGTAAACAATACAAAAATAAGAAAAAGCTTTTTGAAAATAAAATAACAGAAATATAGGTTGAATTTGAGAATAATTCAATAAAAACCATTACTCTTAAAAATACTGGACTGCAAAGAAAATGAAAAGTATTTAAGGATTTAAAAAAAGCATAGTATTAAGTAATGAAATGGCCACAAGCAGCTATGGAATGGAATCAATATTTGGCAAAGAGTGAACCTGAGCTCACAAAAATATACAAACAACTCGACATACATAGCACTGAAAATCTTCAAATGTAGCTCTCAATGTTTAGAGGTAAATTTCAGGTATTATTGTATTTATTAACTAAGTGATAAACTAAGAGAGCTCAGAGGTGAACTTCTCATTCACAAGTCTTACGCCGTTATCAGGCTATGAGGAAACATTAGCATACAGTACAGTAGAAAACAAGCCCTATGATTAACCAGTAACATATCTGAATAATGGTACAGAGTTTCAATGCTTTAAAATGTCCAAATCTGATAAAGATTTTTGAAATTACTAAAAATCCGGTCAAGTTTTGGGACATTGTGAATAAAATAAGTTAAACCAATGTGAAAGGGAAAATATAGGTGCATGTTAAGTATTTTGTGCAGACTTGGGTTAAAAATAAAACAATAAAAAAAAAGAAATCCCTCCAAACATATTGTGCACAGAGTAAATTACGTCAAACATCTTGCATCCGGCTCAACTCACTGGTTTATTGTAAAATTAAAAGAAAGCCTTACTTATGCTAAGATATAACTAAAATGGAATGTGAGCAGAGCCAAAATCTCGAAAACTGAGGTCAGGTTCGGTGTGTAAATTCCTCCTCAACTTCTGTCATCTGCTCATGAAAACAGAGCAGAGCTATAATCGCCCTCTGGTTGTGATCAGTTCAACAGAAACACTTACATGCTGCAGCTCCTTAAGCAGCAACGCGTACATATGATCCGGTTCCGTTACAGGTGGTTTTAACACTGCATCACTCTCCATGGTCATGTAGAAACAAAAAAGGGAACTAGCTAAACACTGTTTGACAGATACCGGCTAGCCTGTTAGCCTTTAGCTGTAGCCAAACAATCTGTTAGCTAGCGTAAGGTTTAGCTTAACCTTACAGAGCAGGTACTCGAAAAAAAATAATTTAGCCTTAAATAAAAATACTTAGGCAGCAACAAAATAGAGATTTGATAGACACAAGATCCGGGAACAACAACCTGCTAACAATACAAACCAGCTGTCATTCACTATCGCTTTGAAAACACAGACGTTAGCTTAGCTGGAGCCCATATGCCGCTGAGGGTTTGATTAAAACAGATAAAAAGGCTGTAATATTCTGAAAGGATAGAGCCTCCAACACGACGGAAAGCTTTCAGAGCTGTGTTCCAAAACAAGGCCCGTCGGTGCTGCTGAGAGAGCCAGCTCAGCATCGGCTGTGTTGAACTTCAGCCTACACAGCAACACGGTGAAGGGGGCGGGGGGTTCGGTGCGGCGTTCAGGGGATACTGGAAATTAAACATCTAGAGTGAAGGTCTTCAAAAGGGTGCCACGGAGGTACTGCATGGGGATGGTGAAAGTTTTGGTTGACTAGACTTTTTTTTTTTTTTTTTTTATTCCCCCCTGCAATTTTTTCCACTATGAAAATGTCTTTAATAGACATTAACATTTCAACACACTGTAGTAAACAGATAAATGGAAGCAGAAGATGTCTGGCTATGTTCACACTGCAGCCTGAAGTGACTCAAGTCCGTTTTTTTTTGCCAACATGCGACCTGAATCTGATCTTTTCAGGGCTGTCTGAACAACACTGATCTGATATTTTCCAATCCGACCCAGGCCACTTGGCTATGTGGTCCTGAATCCGATACGAATCTGATCTTTTCAAATGCGACCTGTGTGCAAACGCCATTAATACCCAACAAAGGCCAGTATTCTGTGTCTTGCTATGCAGAAGCGGCAAGAAAACCAACAACCATGGCAGATGATGATGCGGAGAGTAGTATTTATGTTTAACAATGTGAAAAGATTGAGTTTTTATGGTTGGAAAAGACCGCTAGATGCGCGCCGGTACTACCATCCATGTTTACTTCCGTAAACATAGAGCACACTGGCCTGTGACGTCATTGCGTCCTCTACTGCGAATGCAGGACACTTGCTTTCTATGACTGCAGTTCACATAGGAGATCACATACAAGTCGCATATATTTGGAAATATGAACGGCAACGCAAAAAAAAAAAAAAAAAAAAAATCGGATTTCACAAAAAAATTCGGAATTGAGCATCAAGCCCTCCAGTGTGAACGTAGCCTTTCAGTCATTAATGCACACATTCAGCGACACACAGCAGCTCTTTCAAGCTGGGCACCGTTTCATTCACAACACCTGTCCCATCAACGAGGAATCAGAATCAGAAATACTTTAATAATCCCAGGGTGAAATTAGTTTCATTACATTACTCCATCTGTAATAGAGTGATTATAGGACCAGTTTGATATAACACAATTTCAATAATATATAATTATTTATATAATTAGGGGGTCCCTGCTCCATCTTGCTATCAGTTTGGGGGTCCTTAGCCTGGAAAATGTTGAAGACCCCTGCTCTAGACTACAAAACATGGTCTGTAAAAACTACAATATTGTAATCGTGGTGATTTAAAAAAAAGGTTTTACATTTTCTTTTAAACAAATGTGAAATGTGTGCGATTTTAAAATACAAACGTGAAATCTAATACAAAAAATTGTAAATAACGCAGGCACATATACAACTGCATTCATTTCCTTAAATTTCTTAGATTAATTATGAATTATGATAAAAAATATACGGGATTGTGAGCTTAAAATATTAATAATCAAAGTACAACCTATTTGGATTAGTTTTAATGCAAAGAAACAGATGGCACAGACTTACCACAGTGGTCCACTCCAGAGTTTTATTCTGAATGACTGAAAAGATGCAGCTCATGTAAACAGTTCCAGTTGCAAACAGTCCCAGTTCTTCCTGAGGTGTTTCAGTCACAATCTCCATAGAGTCGATGGATCCTTGGAGCAAAAAAGGTAAACATTTAGTTAAATCAGGGTGTCTTCTTCACTTACTGATTAACTTGGTCAGCACAAAAAAAATTGCTATTTGTTAAAGAACTGCAAAGCTCTAATAAAAAAAAATACAATTAGCTGTGCTGTATATTAAAAAAATGACTTTGAAGAACAATAGAAAATATGTATTATGTTTGTCAGATAGAGTATTGTAAAAAGATTTCAACTAACCTGGAGGATAATGATCAACTTCTGCTTTAACGTCCACATCCAACTGATTTGCTGGATTGGGCTGACTGATCTTTTCCTCTTCCTCCAACAGAGGTAGATCCGGCTGATCAACTTGGTTTTCATCAAAGTGTTCAGCATCCTCCTCTTTAGTCATATTTAGTTCAGCAGGCACATCATTCACAACTATCCGGTCGTCAGTAATCCCAGACGGCTCCTCTTGCTGATCCTCTGATACAGAAGGATTGTGCTCATCAGTTTCTGGCATGTTGTTAGACTGTCCTTCAGCAGCAGGGGGCATCTCTTCTGGAACATTTAGGTTAGGTTGGTCTGTAAAGCACAAACAGAAAAACGCTCATCAAATGCAGGAAATCTTTTAGATATGTTTCAGCTAGTACAATGACATTAGTGCGAAAACTGTCCAGCTTGGTTTAATCTTTTATCTCATTTAGTTCTGTGATAAATGGAAAAAGACATTGCTGAAGATCAAAACATCAAACCTACCAGGTGGGCTGTCCAGGGGGGATTCTGGCGTTGCTAAAGGAGCACTGTCCCTGGCTGTTGAATATTTTTGGCGTAGGCTGAATGCAAGTTCCTGAAAGTCATCAAGCAATTCAGTTTCCTCGTCCAAATTGTCCACATGTTGCTCCTCATCTTGTTTTTTTTCTCGGCTATCCAGCATCTTCTCAATCTCGTCCAGGATAGTGTTCTCGGATGCCTCCAAGATGTTCTCCAGTGCGCTTTCAATGTCGTGTGTGGTGCCTGTGTGGGACATGCGAGTAGCCTGCAACTCAGTGTCCAGGTCGGAGAACATGGCCTCCAGTTTGAAAAGGTTTTTGAGGCCCAGGAGCCTCAGGACACGCTCTATTTTCTCCTCTGTAAAGTGCTCCCTAAGCAGAGACAGCGTCATTATTTTGTCGCTGTATTCTGGCTCTGCAGCTGATTCTGTCATTTCCTTTTCAGTGTTTTCAGGCATATCACCTTCCAAATGTGTGGATAAAAGTGCATTTTCATCCTCGAGTAACTCCTCCTTTTCTCTGTTAATCTCTTCTTCGGTCCTTGCATCGTTTTCCTCTCCTTCCACCTCTGTAGGCGGTTTCTCATATATTATTTCTTCTTCCTCAAATATTGTCTGACTTTTATCGCTCTCAACATCTGTCACCAAGTTGTCATTTATCTGATCTGGTTCCTGATCGCTTAATAAAAGTTGGTCAACTTTGACCTCCGAGTCATTAGATGGCTTTAGGTCAGAGGATTTTTCTGGGTCTTCTTCACTTTTGGTTGCACCCAATTCCTGCTCAGACAAAGTTTTGTTTTCTTCCGACAAACCGTCTAAAATTTCATCTTCCACAGCAGTATCGTGTATGTCATCCTCTCTTTTACTAACATCTGGATCCTCTGTTACATCTTCTCCTTCCTCATGTTGAGGTGTTCCATCATCTGAATGGTCATCAGTTTTAACCAGATCCTCTTTCACTCCTGGATCTTCTGACAGATTGCTCTCCTTTGTTTCATGGTGTACCAGCTCATCAGTTGATTTTAATGTTTCATCCCTGTTTTCCATTTCATCCTTGTGTCCGCCCTCTTCTTCAACCACGCCCTCTCCGTCCAGCAAAACCTTCTCAGGGTCATCTCTTGTTTTATTCATTTCTTGATCAGAGTATGAGCGATGAGGTTCTAGAGGAGGGGGCTCTATGTTCTCTGGAGGTTTTTGAGCTTCTGGTAAAAGTGGTTCCATCTCAGTTTCCTCAAGTTCTTCAGCAGCTTCTTCAGTGTCGTCCTCATCTTCGTCATCTGAACTCACATCCTCTCCTGTGGTTTCTCCTCCAGTGACAACAGAGAACACTGCATCTCCAAATGAAGTCCATAAGTTCTTCTCCTCTGTCATGTTTGGTTCATCTTCCTGTTCTTGTGGAGGTTCCTCCTGCTTTTGCAAAGAATCCCGTACCAGAGTTTCTGTGGGTTCCTCCGAGAAAGAAAGCAGAGGAATATCCTCTTTCCTTTGTTCTTGGTGAACTTCCACATCCTCGCTGTCCTCCTCTTCATATGGAGTGACTTTTGTGGTGATCTCTTCCTCTGTGACAATAGCATCAAAGGTCGTTCCAAGGGTGGGTTTTAATTCCGGGATCTGTACTCCTTCAGTGACCGTCACTGGAGCAGACTCCAGCTCCAATGTAGTTGGTCCATCTTTGGTTTCACTACTTTCTGGCACATCTTGAACAAGAGACTCTGTTACATTCTGTTGCTCAACTTTGTCACCCTCCTTTACAGGCACAGTGTCTGTATTAGACCCTTCATCTTTCAATGAAGATTCTGTTGATGTGTTTATTTCAAGTTCAGGCAAAGAGGCACTTTGGTCATCAGGAACTTTGTGAAGCTCAGCTGAGTTTCCATCGTGTTCGGTTTGTGTTTTACTCCCAGTCACCTCCTCTACTGATGGCTCTGTCTCTTTCTCATATCTCTCTGTGTCTGTTTCATTCCCATCTCTATCGGACTCCTTGACAGACAGGCCTAAAAGCAAGTCTATGTCGTAAGAGTCAAACTTGTCGAATCCAGTGTCAAAACAGACAAAATCTGTATCCTGAGACAAACAAATACAAATTACATCAATGGTAACAGGGGTTTCATTTATAAAATATATAATGGGTTTATTTATTTTTTTATCCAACAAATCAACAGTTGATAGTATTTTCTCAAACCTCTGCTTTAACTTCAAGTTCTTTATCAGTATAAAGGTGGTTTACTGCAAGAAGGTCCTTTGGGAAATATCCAAAGTTGCTTCCAACCTTTCAGGAAGAAACAGTGTTGTGTATTAGAGTAATCAGTCAAACGAAAAAAAAAAAAAAAAGGAAAACATCTAAAAAAGAAAAACAGTATACTTACACTTCCTGCCCATAGGTCAGCCCTTCTTCCTGACAGCTTATAGTATACATATATAGTTTCAGATTTCTTGAATGAAAGGAACCGACAATCAGGTCCTGAGAAATCTCTCACAGCTTTCCCCCTACAAAGAAGCACTGGAAAAGAAACAAAAATTATATTATAAGGGTGCATCTTTATTTCATATAAAGGTGATTCAGACTGTTGTTTGATATATAAAGGACTTTGAACAACAATGTGCCAGGTTAAGTTCCACTGCAAGGATGGGTCTGTGTTTGGTGGCTCTAAAGCCGGGCATAAATTGTACGATTTTTTTTGGCCTTTTTGGGCAGATTCTCCAGTCGTGCGAGAATTTTTTTGATTATGCACCGTGTAGTGTACAGGGGGTAACGAGGGGGGGTATCAGCCTCTTATTACATGTCCCGATCAGGAATCATAAGGTCAGGAGAAAATTTGTAAATTAGTTGGCCTTCATAAGATCGCATCCGAGTTTCGGGCCACACCGTGTGAGAACCCGGATGGTGACCTGTTAACTTTTAAACACTGCAGTTTCGTCTCACAGTTTGAGCTGTAGCTGCATGCAATGATTGAAAATATCGCATGGCGTATTGAACCGACTCCAGTTGCCTTCCAGGCATTTTGGAGCACATTTTTTTACCGACTTAGCTTCACAAATATCTCTAGGCTGCAGTTATTTAGGTTAATTCTGCATAGCTTCAAACAACACTTTTTCCTTCCACTACACTTTCCGGTAATAAGCTTAAATATGACACTAAGAGCAGCCAGTGACCTTTTTTGACTTACCCTTGGGTGGACTCAAGGGTGTCAACGGTGATAGGAAAACTGTCAGGTGTTTTTTTTAGGTTGCCCCACACCTAACCTATATAAATAAATGATTAACAGCTTTCTGTTGTTAGCTGCCTAGGAGGTCATACAAAAATATGCAGGGGTTTGGTACTTCAAGATTAGTAGGCAACAACATGTATTAATAAAATTGTTTGAAAAGCCAATTATAAAGCTAATATTGGTTTGTTTATAAATTGTATATCTTCCAAATAAGAGAAATAAACATTTGTAATATATTCCACCGTATCGTGAACCCGTTAAATTGAACAATTTTAATTTTATGCTAAATAAGCCCTCCAATATCAAGTTAGCAGTGAAGCTAATGCTGCTAAACAACATAGCTAACACGGTTTGCTGTTAAAACGGCTGTTTCGTCGCATTAGCTTCTTCGGCCGGCCGGCGGCTAATTTTCTTGCTAGCATTAGCTTGACAGGCCGGGGCTTCCAATGAGAGTCAACACAGGCTGAGTCTGGACAAACTGTCCTCGTTTAAGCTGTTTTTTTTTCTCAGCACTTAGTTCGCTTTTCATCGTTCATCCCACAGCTAAACGGATAACGGCAGGAGGCAGCCAAGGTCGCAAAAATCGACCGGGCAACAAGTGAAGAGATAAGGCGCAGTTTATGGCTAACTGTCGTATCTGGATGAAGGAGGGAAGACGGGACCGCATCCCCTGGATTTCTCCCGTTCAGCGTGGCTCACCAACACTGCAAACTTACTGCTGCACTCCTCGTCGGCGCATCTTTTAAAGTCGGAGAACCTCTTCTCCAAGGCTGCGGTTGAAATAAAGTTAAATAAAAGTAGTAAAAAGCCCTTTGTATAAAATAGTTTTGCTGCCATGCTGGCAGTTTTGTTTTCTTGGCGTCTCGACTCCTCCGCTCACTGTGGAGCGTAAAGCTCTGGGCAACAGGAGCCGACACGTCAGCAGTTCAGATCCGGCTGGGTGTAGGCGAGGGTGGGCTTTCCCAGGATCTAAGGATGGATGTGGCTCCAGCATAAATTACTCCAGGAAAACATTGTGGTTGGAAGGGGGACAGCATCGGAAATATGCAGATTACTTAGAAGGTTTTTTTAACAGGTCCTACTGCATTTTGTTTACCAGGTGATGCATTTCTTGGATCCTCAACAATATTTCCTTTTTAAATTATCTTAATCAAGTATGGAAGAGGATTAGGGCCACTGAAAAAAAAAACTGATTTTAAAAATTTATTTCAGATTAATATGGGAATAAATCTCACTTTAATCTCAGCATTCTGACTTTTTTTTCTCAGAATTCTGACTTTAAACTCAATAATTTGAATTTAATCTCAGAATTCTGACCTTTTTCTCAGAATTCTGACTTTAATCTCAGAATTCTGACTTTAATCTCAGAATCCTCACTTTAATCTCAGAATCCTCACTTTTTTCTCAGAATTCTGACTTTAATCTCAGAATTATGACCTTTTTCTCAGAATTCTTTCTTTATTCTCATTTTAATTTCAGAATCCTCACTTTTTTCTCAGAATCCTGACTTTAATCTCAGAATTCTGACTTTTTTTCTCAGGATTCTCACTTTAATCTCAGAATTCTGACTTCAATCTTCGAATTCTTACTTCAATCTCCGAATTCTGACTTTTTTCTCGGAATTCTGACTTTTTTTCCGTCAGATTTCTGACTTTAATCTCAGAATTCTTACTTTTTTTCTCAGAACTATGACTTTAATCTTGTAATTCTGACTTTTTTCTCGGAATTCTGATTTTTTTTTGGTCAGATTTCTGACTTCAATCTCAGAATTCTGACTTTTTTTCTCCGAATTATGACCTTTTTCTCAGAATTCTTACTTTAATCTCAGAATTCTGACTTTTTTCTCAGTATTATGACCCTTTTCTCAGAATTCTGACTTTTTTCTCAGAATTCTTACTTTAATCTCAGAATTATGACTTTAATCTCCGAATTCTGACTTTTTTCTCGGATTTCTTACTTTTTTCTCAGAATTATGACTTTAATCTAAGAATTTGGATTTTTTTTCCCATATTAAACAGAAATAAAATTTTAAAATCAGTTAACTTTTTTTTCAGTGGCTCTAATCCTCTTCCAAACTTGATTAAGATCACTCTCCCCACGCTCACACAATACTTCACATGCGCAACCAGGAACAATAAAACGCTGGACCTTTTTTATGCAAACGTCAAGGATGTATACACCTCCGCCCCCCCACCCCCACCCCTCTGGGACGTTCAGATCACAACCTGGTCCAACTGCCCCCCCAATTCACTGGTGAGAAGGACAATAGCACAGAAGAAGTCAGTGAAAGTTTGGTCGGATGACGCCACTGAGGAGCTGAGGGATTGTTTCAGCACCACAGACTGGAGCATGTTCCAAAGCTCTCATGGTGAGGACATCAACAGCCTGACTGAATGCATCACTGACTACATGACCTTCTGTGTGGAGAGCATTGTGCCTACACGACGGCTACAATGTTTTCCAAACAACCCTCCTTGGCTGACCCCTGAGCTGAAAGTCCTCCTGAATCGGAAGAAACAGGCTTTCTTCTCAGGGGATAAAGAGGAGCAGCGTAGAGCTCAGCGGGAGCTCCAGTGGAGGATCAGGGCGGCAAAGAAGGACTATGGGAAGAAGATGGAGGAGCAGCTGGCACAGAACAATGCCAGAGATGTTTGGAGAGGTCTGAAGAACATCTCCGGCTTTGAGCAGAGGACCAGCAGGGCTGCAGACGGTAACACCAAGTTTGCAGATGAGTCCCCTCCCTGCCCTCAACTCTCCACACACCTCCAACCACCGGCCCCACAGAGACAACCCCCCCCACCCCCACCGCCGCCACTCCCACCAACCCCGACCCATCAACACCTCCAGTCGTGCCTTCCTCCCCCTAACAGTAACACCAATGCAGGTGAGAGGGCAGCTGAGGAGGCTGAAACAGAAGAAGGCCTCAGGACCAGACGGCCTCCCCCCCAGGCTGCTGAGGACCTGTGCAGATGAGCTCTGTCAGATCCTCAGCTACATGTACAACCTGAGCCTCTGCCTGAGGGTGGTCCCCACCCTGTGGAAGACCTCCTTTGTGGTTCCGGTTCCCAAAACGCCACACGCCAGGGATCCGGCCCACTTCAGACCAGTCACCCTGACATCTCACCTGATGAAGACCATGGAGCACCTTGTCCTCGCCCACCTCCGCACCGTGGTGAGCCCCACCCTGGACCTGCTGCAGTTCGCCTACCGGCCCAACATCGGAGTAGATGACGCCATCATCTACCTGCTGCAGCGGGCGCTCACCCACCTGGAGACCACTGGGAGCGCTGTGAGAGTCATGTTCTTTGGCTTCTCCAGCGCTTTCAACACCATCAGACCGGTGCTGCTGAGGGGGAAGCTGGAGGACGCTGGGGTGGAAAGCATCTAGCTGACTGGACCACCAACTACCTCACTGACCGTCCTCAGTACGTGCGGCTGCACGGCTGACAGTCAGAGGTGGCACTCTGCAGCACCGGGGCCCCCCAGGGCACCGTCCTGTCTCCTTTTCTTTTTACCCTCTACACCTCGGACTTCACCTACAACACGGACAGCTGCCACCTCCAGAAGTTCTCTGATGACTCGGCCATTATGGGCTGTGTGTCTGAGGGGAACGAGCTGGAATACCGGTCGGTCATCATGGACTTTGCGGACTGGTGTGAGAGAACCCATCTGTCTCTGAACACCAGTAAGACCAAGGAGATGGTGATCGACTTCAGGAGAAGACCACCACCCCACCCCCCCGTGAACATCCAGGGACAGGACATAGAAACTGTGGAGAGTCTCAAATACCTAGGTGTTCACGTCAACAATAAACTGGACTGGACTCATAACACTGACGCCCTTTATAAAAAGGGCCAGAGCCGCCTCCACCTCCTGAGGAGGCTGAGGGCTTTTGGAGTCAGCAGGCCCCTTAAAACCTTCTATGACTCTGTGGTGGCCTCAGCCCTCCTCTACGCTGTCGTCTGCTGGGCCCCTGGCAGCTCAGAGCGGGACAGAAAGAGACTGAATAAGCTGGTGAGGAAGGCCACTTCTGTCCTGGGCTGCCCTCTGGACTCGGTGGAGGAAGTGGCTGAAAGGAGGATGCTGTCCAAACTCACATCCATCATGGAGACCACCTCTCACCCCCTGCACCAGACTGTAGAGGAGCTGAGCAGCTCCTTTAGTCAGAGACTAGACACCCTGTCTGTAAGAAGGAGCGCTACCGCAGGTCATTCATTCCTGCTGCCACCAGACTCTATAATAATGCACTATATCAACAATAACTCCTGTAAAAACCACTGTGCAGCTACATTATAGTTTTTTATTTATTGACTGTGAACAATATCCTGTGCAATATGCTGAATGTGCAATATTTCTCCTCCTGTATATAAGCCATCCGGGTTGTACATATTTTTATTTCTTATTTTTTTATCGCTTATTTTTATTTTTTTTTCATTGTGTGTGATACATGTACACTTGCACCTTAATCCTATTTATCTTGATATACGGTATAAACCTGGATATACTGTATACATATTGCTTATTCTTAATGCACCTTTTCCTCCCTGTTTGCACCTTTTGTAACTTCTATGCCAATATGTGATGAGTGAAGTTCTCCGCTTTGAGATCAATAAAGCTCATCTAATCTTATCTAAAAGGAACTAAATGGGTGTTGAGGATCCAAGAAATGCATCACCTGGTAAACAAAAGGCAGCAGGACCTGTTTAAAAACCTGCTAAGTAATCTGCATTCTTCCGATGCTGCCCACCCCCCAAAAGGCCAAAACTTAATGTTGAAGAATATTTGTGCAATTCGATCATCTAAGGAGTTTGGGAGATTGAAAAACCCTTTATGTCTTTGCTATTAAACAATAAAAAAAGCAAAAAAGTAGTTGTAACAACCATTATAAATTATAATTCAAGCTAGATTATTGATTATCTTTAAAATGCCTCCTAAAATGTTGACTACTTCTTTAGAATTATGCAAACAGTACTTTGCTACAGTATAAGACATTTTCACATTTTATAACATAAGATTTAATGTATACTACAGGCAGAAGGGCATACCTAAAAAGTTTAGAAAAATCAGAGAAGTGTGACATGTTTATGTCAAGACATTATTTAACTACTATGCGAAATAGTTCCTCTCAAAAGTGAACATACCTGTCTTGTGATAAAAAGAGACCTAGCCAATTAGCATGATACATAATCTGAATATTTCGCCCTTTTAATCTGATTTTCTATACATTACAGTTTAAAGAAAAATGTGAAATATAGAAATGAAAAAGGTCTAATAACCTGATTGCACAATTTTTGTAAGGATCCATCAAGATGCTAAGGATCCATCAAATGCTAAATCTGAATTTAGTAATGTTTGTCCAAACTACCTCGCTAATGTAACATCTCTTGGTAATGGACGCTAGGCCTTTTCAAAACTTTTCTTTTCTTTTGGTCTGATCATTCGTTTGGACGTATGCTTGAACACATTGAGATACACATAAAACAGAATCATTTTCATCAAAGTAACATTTATTACTATGGGCTAGCAAAATAAAGGTATTTTTTTCCAAGTCTTTGGGAGATTTTTGTCATATTTATTTTCTTTTAAAGGAATAAAAAATGTTTCTGTCTTGCAATCTGGTGTAACTTCATGATTACAAAACAGTAGGATGCTTTCATTTATGTTTCAGGGGATGTGCAATCTTAGTTTTTCCACAACATGTTGTACCTTGTATGTACTGTATATGAACATATCAACTTTGGTAAAAAAAAATTGCACAGAGAAAATCCTAGAAAAAAATCTATGACAAAAGAAAAAACTATTAAATTTATAGGCTCGCATTTAGCCCGTTTCTATGGAAGCCCGTTTCCGCCACTCTGTAAAAAAAAACTATCTCAATATAATGAGATAGTAACTCAATATAATGAGATAGTATCTCATTATAATGAGATAGTATCTCAATATAATGAGATAGTTTCTCATTATAATGAGA